TAGTTATGTGTTTGTTTCCATTCTACTTGATCCATTTCAGTAACACGTTTGGGTACTTCCAAAGTTTGATGCACCATATTCACATTGACGCACTAGCATTTCCCAGACAGTTACGTGCTCGTTGCATGTACTTATTTAGCTGATCTCCTTCCCAAATTTCTTTACGTACTGGTGTTTTGTTACGTTATTGTAACCAACAAGGGCGGCGTCTGGCGTTCACCTACCTTTTCATTAATAAAACTGAACTGAACTAATGAGTTTCAGGAGATTGCGTCGACAAGGGAGGTGCATCAACGATGTCTACTGTGTTTTCAAAAGTATATTGGGGAAAACTCCCGTTCGGATAAAAGTCCCCGAATTTGATAGTATACTCTCTCACGATTATAACCATCAGTCAGAAGAAGCAAAGAAAAGTAGGAGGAAGTCTTACGCAAACATAAGGTCCTCCTCCTCCTTGGGTTGTAGTTCAAAAGTACGAACGCCTCTGTCCGTCGGATAGCGTTCATTTAATGGCATGTAAGCAATCGGGAGCTGCGGAACCGCATTCAAATCTGAAAAATACCGCATTTGGCACCGCAATTTGGCGGGAAGGGGAAGAGCAAACATAAAATTTCTTATACTACCCTGGCATGGAAAGGCTTTAAACAACAGCAACTAAAGTGAAATTTGAAAAACAACATACGTTAACTCACATGCCCAGTTCCAAGCTTGAAACCCGAACGATGGTATGCGTAGAAAAGAGAAAAAATGGAGGAAATTCAGATTTCTAAAGCATATTTTTATCACTGATAGCCGTCTTAGTTAGAACAGTTACAAAATATGCAAACGTTGGTTTCAAGAGTTTGTCAACTAGATAAGGCTATGGCCGACTGGTAGCTTACAAATCAGGTTTAATTTTTCCAGTGGACATGATTTCTTGAAGCGCAGAAAAGGGAGACTAGAGTTGTCACTCATAATTTACAAAGCGATGCCAGCCCGTCATAGTCAGGTCCAAGCTAAACGGGATTACCATGCGCCACACTGCAGTTCGATCAATGAAACGCAAATTTCACATAATCTTACGGCTACAGTAGGCATGGTTATCAGGAGACAATTTGGGCATCAAACCAGACGTGCTCACATTCGGGAATGTAGACCTCCACCTTGCCGGTGGCGGGGGAGTCAGGGGTGGCTGCCGAGCTATCTGTAATCGTGACAGTCAGAGTAGAAGTCGCTGATCGGGACTGCGCACCGGACGCAATGACAGGCACAAGTACAGTCGCAGTTCCCTCGACATCTCGATTCAAGACGACTTTAGTGGTCAGCTTGAAGCTTCCTGGAGGGCCCTCAACGATTGTAAATAGGCGTGCGGCCACAGTAGCCTCGGGTACAATCGAGTAGGTGATCGAATCGTCCTGAGTTGGAAAATCTACATCCCTGAAAGTAGGAAAGAGACGAGTTTAGAATATAGTTAAAGGCAGTGGTTTCCGGTCACATTGGTGAAAACCTTTTAGAGGCTGGACTAATCGTTCGAAGTACATAAAGGGACTGAGGAACATATACTGTTCTTCTATGCCAAGTCTGTATAGAAAGGTAAACAAGACAAGTGTGTCATATATTGAGAGACAAAAATCGCTCATGATATTTTGCCATAAATAGTACCCGCGATACGTTTGCAGATTTCGAAACGCCCGTCTTCACAGCCAACTGGGCTTTTAGTTTTTATTTATTCCTCTCAACCCAAGTGTAATTTACTTCACGGCTCCCAGTGTTTAGAGCGTTAGCTGTACTCCAACCTTGCTATTGCTGTCGTGGCTTCGAATCCTACCGAGTTTTTTTACAATTGGGTCAAATAAACTAGTTCACTAAGGCAAGTTTAGCGGTTGGTAAAAGAAACTTCCTTTCCATCTTTGTAACTGAACTAGTGGTGTGACTACGCGAACCCCAGTACGAACTGCACAGCTATTGCGTTAGACAGAAATGGTGGCCATTTTAACTCGTGGCGTTTGTAGGTCTGGCTGTGCTGAGTCTCTCTCCATCTTTACTTATTCAGAAGAATAATAAAGAGGGATCGCTGGAACAAGAAGTGTAGTGGCCTGACGTTTCGGATTTCCATTCGACCACGTACCTATGGTAATTAGCAGCATCCGCGTTCATCCCTTGGAGTTGTTTGATGCGATAATTGCTTGTTAGACCGCGCCCGTTTAGCTAACCACGGTGATTTCATCAGGGTTATTGATTGTTGCCGTGAGTTACCTGGTCATTTGACTCGTTGTCATTGCGACTGCGATCGGAAATACAAACTGTGTCGGAAATGCATTCACCGATTGTTGCGTGCTGTCATCCAGTTCGGATTGGCCGTCTTTTTCCCATTTCCTTCCCATTTTTTGTACACGACGTCTATTTCGATGTGTTAGTTCGTGCTTGAGTTATCAGAGCGAGAAATTTTCGCCCTGTCATGGATAGATAGATATCAACAATGCGCTTCATCCCAAGAAAACGTGTGTTAGGCTGCCAGTACACGCGAGGTGACTTAGGGTAGGTGGTCTCGCCTTTTTACTGACAGCTAATGTCCGTATATGCGTGCGGTGTCTGACTTTTCAGTTTCTTATAGAGGTGGTCAAACCTATCCGTGGAGCGTACAAGCTAGGTGCATATTATAGTCGACGTTTTGTCTGCCAATTGCAGTTGTTGCCTCCTCAGGTGTCTTTCACCGAGTTCGGACACATTCATAATACATGGACGGACTTGCCAGTTCGTTGGTTTGTGTGCCTGATTTTCCAGGTCTTGGATTTTTTTACTGTTTTGGGCATTAATACACCTCTGACAACGGCCCGGTGAACCGGCGTCAAGAATTTATGAAAAAATGTGTTGTCTTTCCCAAATAATTTATTTGACTTCAAATATGTTACTTGGGATGCCGATCTTTTAAAGGTATTTATGGCAGTTATACCATAGCGAACAGTGATGTCCACCGATTGCCCCAAGGGCTGTTGAGCATAGGATGGCAAATTGCGCATGAATTAGTTTATAATGATAGCCGATATGCACGGCTTCTACCGAACTATCTTTGCCGTAGTAAGACAGGAGCAGGACGCTCGGGCTGGCAAAAATTAATCAGCTACACACGAAGTGGTTTTCGCACAAAGAAAGAGATTTTTACAAAAAGGGGACGGCTCAGATGCAAGTTAAGTTGGAGTACCATAACGGACACACAATTGGAAGGGGTCACTGAGTCCGACTCTCAGACCTGGGAGGGTCGAACTACCCAGACGGTTAGCAGCCTTACAAGCCACGACTTTTGGCGCGTCGAGAGAGACTAAAGTGCAACATTTTTGATAGCGAGGAATGCACTAAAGGGTCGTGGGGGTGGGGATTTCTTCAGTGTCGACCTCACACTCCTCCCTCTTGAATCCTCATGCGTCCAAGCCTGTTAGCTATCTGGTGACGGGATTGCGTGCAGTGGCTGGGGCGGTCTGAAGCCTGCGCTTAGGCGTATCACTACTCAGCCCATGCACGGTAGTAGCTAGGAGTTCGCGCAGACTTGGCACAGCCTGTTGTGGGAGCCACCAACGACAGATATACATAAAATCGGTACAAATATATGACTAACTGGTAGTGATTTTAATCTAACCACTCTGAGTAAAGATCGCTGATTTGAGTCCCAGGTTATCAAAACTAGATGTTTGGTATGGCTGGATGGCTGGCCGGTTGAAGATGGTTAAAAGACCAGAAATGGCTATCTCAGCCTCTCTTTTTCTTATAGGTACTCCGTTCAGCATGTTTATCTTTAGAAAGAGACGAGATTCTTTGGGAAAAGTCACTCTTATTGCGAAATTTAGGTGACTGGTTTTCCAGCTCTTTGTCGGACGTATGGGTAGTGTGTAAAAGTACATAAATAGGAAACGCAGCAAGCGAATTAGTGAGACGACGTCTCAGGACAGCTCTCGCGAGTGCCTTCCCCGCGGCGAACTTGCGCGTATTCTTCGCCAACTCCCCCCTACTACGGTTGGGGGGCAAAGACCGGCTGCCGTTACAGGCCACATCCATGTGTATTTATTCATTCACCTGCTCCTGTGGAGCGGGATATATTGGCCGTACAACCAGGCGTCTGGAAAGGAGAAGACGCGAACGCATGCCTGCCTGGCTAGGTAGAGGTGAACATCGATCGATTTCGAGTTCAATTCTCGCACATCTAATCGATACGAACCATCAAACCGACGCTAAAGAAGTTTTTAAAGTTATCTACGGGGCACCGACACACTACTATAAAGGCCTGCTCAAACGGGTGCTAGCCACAGCCGAAGCAATGGCCATTCGACTGGCGAACCCAGCACTCTGTTGTCAGAAGACGCTGACACAAGCAGTCTGTCTGCCCTGGCCGACTCCAGACGGTGATCGCACGCCGTCCCGACGCACTGAGAGCAGTCACACGCACTCACAGCGCCTACAATCTAACCGGAACCCCTCTACTTCCCCCCTCCCACCCCAACTCCAGCGTCCTCAACACGCTGACTCCGTCATGCGGGTGGCGTGGGAACATGGAGTCCGATTAACCCTGTCCCCGAGACGCATTTATACCCTGTCGACAATTAGACTGATCATTTCCCTTGAAAATGTGCAGGCCTGATGAGGAATTACCGAAAACATATGTTAGCCAATTGACTTTTCAATTTAATATGGGAATTTTCGCAGAACAAATAACCAGTCATGTCTAACGACTGACTCTATGATTTACCGATGCCTGCGCTATTGCTGGCTTCACCGGCAAAGATTCCGTTAGAATCCTGTTGCTTTGATATCTGTTTATTGTCAATTTCAGGCTTCCTTTCGACAAACTGTAGTGCGATATTCAACAGAACTCACAGTATGGAGCTACTTTGTTGAAAAAAGAACACAGTACGAAGGAAGTGATTTGTCTTCAAGAGGCGTGGTTAATTTATTATATTGATTTGCATCAAATTACTCCTGGTCGCAAGAACATGGTCTCCTATCGAATAACTAAAAATTCGTCCAGTGTATTTTCCGACTACGACCCTCTCCTAGTTCTGAATCCTTAGACATCCTTCCCGACGAGGTATCCTCTTTCAGGTACCTTAGTGTTACTTTTTAAAATTAATCTTGAGTCCCTGCTGAAAACATTTTCTTTTGCACTCCCAGAAATTAGGCACAAACTAAATAATCAAGTGAAACCGTTTGTTTGCTCACTTGGCCGAAATGTCAGTTGGTTTGACCTCGGTGCCTACAGGCGCCCCGTTGGGCACAGTAAGGCCGGTGAGGGCGGCCGGGGGGATGAGGGGGCCCTGGGTCCGCACCGTCAATGTAAGGGTAGTGGTGGTGCTAAGAGCAGGCTCACGCTGATCGCTGACGGTCACGATCAGTGGCCACCGCAGCCGGCCATCAGTTAGTGAGGGGGTATTCGGGCTGTCCGCGGGGGAGTCCGGTCCGGCCAGGAGCACACTCAGAGTCTCTCTGTCCAGTCGCGAGATCAGAGTCAACTGGGCCTATGACAACGGAGTTTATAAATCGGCCAGATTATTTCAAGTGCGAGTCCGACTGAAATTCGAAAACTGAATATATTCGAGTATATCTGAAATGACAGGTACAATCTGCAAGCAGGATCAAGTTTCATCTAACAAGTGGCTGAATTATAAAAAAATCGGAAAGAAATATTTAGATGGAGTTGTTTGAAGGCGAGTTTGGGTGAGTGGTAGAGCGTGCAAGTGCGCTCGATGCTTTGCCGAAGCTGTCCTTTCGTTTATGTTATTCACAAGACTATGAACATTCAGACTTAAGACATGAGTCATTGGGAGTGGGGTTCTAAAACCAAATTTGGAATCGAAAACCCGACGGCACAGGGTTTAGGAACCAGCATAGTTTAATCATTTGGAGGTCGCCGTCGGAGAAAACAGTAGTGACTTGTGTGTGTGTGTCTTGCAGTAAAATGAGGGAGACTTGCGCAGCAGCAACTCCTCTCCTTTGTCGCAAGCATCACTCTGCACTGAGTCACGATGACTGAAGATGGGCTGGGATGCGATGGCTGACCGTGTGGACAGCCCCGTCGATACATGACACACACGTGCTGTTACCTAAGTCCACGTGAACCGGACGTACTTATTTCTCACGCCTGTGAGAGTTGCCATTATGTAATATTACGAAGGCACACTAGCAACATGACACTCCTTCCGATGGAAGGTTAAGTCAGGTAACTTTCAAACCCCAACAGTAACGACATCTTGAAGGCACAAAAGTGCGACAGGAAAGGCTAAAAAAGGTTAGGTTGAGCGCGGTGCTTGACTTGGCATTAGGCTGTCGCATGATGAAAATGCACCCCTCTGTGCCCACTGGTCACCTGAGGAGCATTATTCCACACTACATGCAATGAAGAAATCGCCATCTCAGTCTGCCCTCCGACTTCACAAAACTGGCTTCTGTATCATGGATTCTATCTACTTTGAACTGGGCATTTAGGACTTAGACATTTAGGAGAGAGACATACCTTTCCCGGTACTTCATTAGACTTAAATGATGTTTTATCTTCAATTTCGAAATCCTCTCTAGACCTTGATCTCTGCCAAAAAGCACAACAGAACAATCTTACGCGAGACGGATCAATTAAGATCAAACTCACAGAGTCCTGCATGACGGAAGTCAGACCGAACATGCCACCCGCCGATGATTTGGATTCTAACTGGAAGGTGAAACTGGTCTCTGCGGCTTCCAGACTTGTCACCCGCAGATGGGAAAGCCGCGTAGGTCCGAGTGTACCGTCCAAAAATTGATCAAGTGCAGTGTGGGAAACAACGGGTGGGCGATCATTGTCCTCAATCACGTTGATCTGAACAGTGGCCAATGCACTGTGCAAACGATTGCTGTCGAAAACTGTGACGCTGATAATTTGAGCACCCGGTGGCGACGGTGGCGTGGCCTCTAGATCAAGCTTGATCTTGGGCTAAAACACGATGGATATCTGTTACATTATGCAATCACTCGGGCAATTTTTTAGGTCACATTCTACAGAGGAAGACAGGCACACTGCTTTAGTGTGCCTACACTTGAGTTACCGGTAAACATGCCATTTGAAGTTCAGGGGTTGTAATGCGGGCCAGGCAAGACTCACTTATTTCTATAAAACCCGTAAAAGACACGCATTATAGTACTGGCAATAGATGTGCTATCTCGAGAAATGTTAACCGAAATTATGAACTGCGTTTTCAATTCGGAAAGATTACCTAAGTGGGACTGCAGTGTTAATTATCGTACAGCATAGTTCGCAGATATTTAAGTTACGTCAGGATGACTACTTTTGAACGAGCTTAATTCCGTAACAAATGCCTACGTAAAAGGTTTGATTTTTTCCCGTCGATTTCCGATATCCTTACAAATTCGAACATATTTTATGGAAATCAAGCACACAAATATTCTTTCTTGAACTCATCTGGTAAAAAATTACGTCTTTTTTAAAGTTTATGCTTAAAGAAAGCGTATCACAGGGTTTTAAATTTTTTCAAATTTTAGACTAATTTTGAAGCCGACTTGCCGTTAGATTTGCATTCAGGTTTTCAAATATGTAAGCTGCATGCTTTCACCCTAAGGAAAATCATAAATTTTTATACACTGTTAAGTATTTGTCAAAGGGAGCTCATAAAACTTTGTAGGGGGTGGTAACCTTGTTGTCCACTTTAAAAGCATCATTAGCAAACTTGTTAATACGACGTTGCATGATTGGACATTTTAAGGTCTTAAAAAATCTCATATCAGAACGCTACCATTCACGTAAGTATAAAATTTAGAAAAGAGTGTTAATTTGTTTCCATGTATATGCATAACGGAGCACTTTGTGCGTGTTTGCAAGGACGCCGAAAATCAATGGGGAAATTTATACTATTTTCACATCATTTTTCACAGTGCAGTTTTTTCAGGTGGCCGGAAAGAAGCCTATACAAGAACGGGGATCCAGACATGACATATATACTTTAGTATTATGTTGTGTGATAATTAGTATTGCAACTGTGCTGTAGCAGTCTTTTCGAATCAAAACCACATTTCCGAATTTCAGTCAACATTTCATGAGATAACACATCTACATTTTACTTTAGCACTTAATAACGGAGGTGCAGGATTGCGTTTATAAGTCTAGCATTGTTGCGCGCACACGTTGCGAGCTTAGGTGGAAAGGAACCGATTTGCTTCAAAAAGGTTAACGCCGCTTACACAAGGTTTTCATTATCAATATCTCGGGGCTAGCTTCTTGCCATTTTCAATAACTCGGCGTATAAATATACGATTCCGACAAAATTCCATCATTGACGATATAACAGTTAATGTTAGGAGCACGTGGTCACAGATCAGTCTGGCTATGGACCGCTTACGCCCTAATTTATTGTATAGTATGCTCCAAGTAAACTCGCAGTGACAAAAGTATTAACAGGCGGATTTTTTGATTCACATCGCGTTTTGAGTGAGATGCTATTTTTAATTTCTGTAATTTATAAATTCTGTCACTTTTATTCCGTGCGTTTTATCCCCTCGTTTTTGGCCTTAACCCTGTCGACATCCCAATTCGCAATCTGATCCCTAGGTTTCTCGGGCACCACGACATAGCCGTAGGTCAGTAAACAGGTTTGTTTACTTGGATCCCCTTTGCCCCCCCCCTAATCATCTCCCTGAGCTCCACTAGTCATTTGGAGGCCAATGCACGAGCCTGGAAATTTATCAGATTTTTTTTCGGCACACTGTTCACAGACATGTTCGTGCAGACATGCCGTGGCAGAGTCTGCACAGCCCTTACGGCGCAAAAGGCAGAATTAGCAAACTCCTTTTCCAGCCTTTTTAAAGGTAGCACAAACTGCTTTCTCCACCACGAAAGCTCATATGGGGCTTTCGCGTGATCCGTGTTTATCTGCCTTACTATTTGTGCTTCTGAGGGCATTTTAAGAAGCCCGAAAAGGCGACAGAGACAACTGCATGATAGTCTAAACACTTGAAGAAACATCGTGCAGGAATCAAGCCATCTTATTAATAAGCGCGGAACTCAGCAAAAATGTGACTTGCATCAGCGACTCTTGTGAGTCATTAGGAGGTGCTTGCATGCAGATAGTGCCCAACGCAAATGCTGCTGATTGCGAAGATATACTGTATTTCGGCAGCACAGACCATTACAGAGAGATCAAGTTTGGCTCCACCACCCCCTCTGCCCCACGAATGGTGTCATGCAGTAAACACGAAAGTTGCAGGAGGTGTGTACTCCTGACTGGAAGGAAAAATGCCTGATTTAAGGCAACTAGTGCTTACCCGCACACCGCAGGCCTGTATAGAGTCGAGGAAGACGACATCAAAGAAGGCATTTGCTTCAGTGAGAAGACACTCGAAAAGGCCCTTGTCCGAGATGTCAGGGTCGGAGATGAGAAAAGTGAAGAAATCGACACCCACAGGAGCAGATTCTGGCACTGAGGTCACGTAGGACCTATAGGGAGAGGATATGGGGGCTAGCAATTAAGTACACGATAATCCAACGAAACACACACTAGCAAAGGAAGACTGAGAGTGCAACAAGCGAGGTAAGGTGAAGATGTATAAGACTCTCCTTAAAACGACGCACTCGCACAGCCTCGCCCAGGGGTTTCTTTATCATAGAGAAAAAATCACAAGACGGATATTCTGGGAATTTTGCCAGGATTATTATTTCACGTTCGAACAAAACTCAACTCGCCCAGACTTACGTAACATGTAGGCAAATTAGTGGCAGCGGGGATTTAAGTGGAGCTATTTGAAACCATGCAGGTAAATCGGCTGTAAACAGTTTGAAAATTGTATTCAGACAGGCGGTATAATGAGAAGTATGGCACAGAATTTCCACCATTGCCCGAAATGCGTTGAAACTTATGAAACATCAGCCGAAATACCAATTAAGCGGGGAGTTGAGAGTTGTGGGAATTGCATATATTCCCAAGTCCATTCATACCCATAACAGGTTGTTTTAATTGAGAAAATTCCGCGGACTGCTTGGGGTGATCACGCCAAACATTACTGGTAAAATAGCGTACGATATTTTAAGGTTGAAACATTTTACCATTTAATTTTAATGAAGCTGGCGAAGAATTCGGATTTCCCAGTCTCTCTGTATAAACGATCTTTTCGCAAATAAACCCGAGGCTGGACACTGTAATAAATACCACCGAATTAAAAGTGGCCGTGCGTTAAAACCCAAGAGGGGCCTGTACAAATCACCAAACTTTAACCCTACCCCGCCTGAAATTTAGCACAAGCACACTCGCAATATGGGTTATTGATTCCTCTGCCCTACCAAAACTGGGTTTCCGAATCCAGAACGCTTTTGCATTAAAATTCAGTGTTACACATTCGTTTTAATTGCTGGTAAGGCGCCTAGTCTATTTGCTACTTATACAGTAGATGTGCTAACTCATGAAATGCTAACTGAAATCCTGAAATGCGTTTTCGACCCGAAATGATAACTTAAGTAGGGTTGTTACATTAGTCATCGCGCAATATAATCAGGATGACAGCCTTCGAAAGAACTTCCTTCCGGCAGCCTGCAAAAACTACACTTTAAAGAATGACTATTTAATCAGCATGACTTTCTCCCACTGATTTTCGACGTCCTTATTACTTTAAATATATTTCATAGAAAACATATAATCAGATATTCATCCTTCTACTCATTTGGCAGAAAACAACGTTTCAAGTATAAAAATTGAAAAAGAAATAATTTTCTAGTAAACGAATAAAAGAGTCAATATTTAAATGCATGCTTTCTATGAAATATTTGAATTTACAAGGACGCCGAAAATCAGTGAGTGAAATTCATGTTGCTTAAGTACTCAATCTTTATAGAGTGTAGTTTTTGCAGGCTGCCGGAAAGAGGTTCGTTCGAAGGTAATTGAATAATCTTGAGATTATGCTGCCGGGTAGTTTATATCACAACCCTACTTAAGTTATCATTTCGGGTCGAAAACGCATTTCAGGGTTTCGACTAACATTTCATGAGTTAGCAAATCTACTGTGTGTCCTATAGGAGTCGTCGGCGAACATCTTACCACACATAAAACAGATTTGAATGCCTTGGATTTTACTTTTAAGCGGAATTAAATGAAAACAAAACGTAAGTCGCCATAGAGGGTCTATAGTATATTGCCCGTTTACTAGTCAATACTAAATTAGTAAATTACTTGTCTGCCACAAGCGGGCATGAATGACTACTTAGGCGAGAATACGTTTCGAGTGAGATAGGTAGTGGACTGTTTAATTTTCGAGGAAATTAATGTGCGAACTTGCAGTAAATCCATCGGAACAGACCTTTTCAGGCACGGTTCGAAATGTGGTATGAATATTTGAGCTGACATCCATCAACTACTGCGGAATAGCCACGTAATCCTCACAAACCGCCAACAGGCAGCCAGAAGTATAGAACTGCATAATTATTTACCATACTGACCTGCTTTGTCAGTATGGTAAATAATTACCCAGCTCTATGGGTAATGGAGGCTGAGGAGGGTACGGTCCCGACAGGAATGCGACGAGACTCCTGAATGGTGCTGCTCCAAGTTGCAGCACGTGGTCAATTGATTTTCCAACTAAGTGATTGACAAAGTCCTCGCGTCCGTGTTCGGTCGGATGAGGCGGCCTGTAGCAATCAATGGTCGAGTCCTGGGGTGCGATACGGAGGAGGAGAAATAAGAAAGAGGTCGGACAGCGGGTAATTTTGCGCCCTAGATGCCCTGACGTTTGCTAGCGCTCAGGCAAGTCTTACTATCATAACTATCAACTGTCTTACAAGACCTTCTCTTGACTCGCCAAATATCTAACGTAATACTTCCCAATTCTTATTCAGGCCCCATCAACGTTAATGCAACCATTCTATCGTTTCACGATATTATCAATTCCCATGTACTATTTTATATACATTTTCCTTCTTCCGTTCGTACTGGTCATCCGTTTGATGAATTCCGACACTGTAGTCTACATACAGAGACCTAAACCTCCTCTTGTGGAAGTCGGAAGTCATAGAAAACCCACTATAGATGTGGAGGTACGATCAACCATTGGAGGTAAATGTTCCATTTCACAGAACAAGGACACAACGGATGTTACAGGCCCGCGCCATTCGGCGGATTAGCCGACAGGTAGACGGTGGTCGCACACGTGGAGTGCAGTAAGGCATTTTCATTAATTGTAAATGTTATGGTTATTATATTACCTCAAGTTTATTCTTTTACAAGGATTAAGACTGCGAATTGGTATAGCGCACGGATAATTAGAAATTGCGAGATTGTAGTTATCCGGGCAGCAGACAAACTTATGAGCACATGGCATCGACTGGCAATAGGAAGGTTTTCAGACGGTGGTCTTTCTTGGAAGGTATAATTCATCTCATTGTAGAGCCCTCCCCTCGGCCAGAAACCCGCTTCCCCTCTGATCGATGCATGCAACGAAAGAGGATTGCCTTCACAAATTATTCAAACAAATTGCCGCGGCAAATTCATTTATGTAGCGAAAAGACGGTGGCCAACCTTCACAGCCTCCAAGGATGTGTTGTACGTTTAAAAGATATCTGACTTAGGGTCAACCATGAAGAGACCAGACGATGGCAGGACGATAACGATAATGCCACGGAGGCCCTTAACATGCCCGCTGGGATTTACCGGTGAACTTCGCACATTTGACAAGTCGTCGGCTAAGTAACAAAATCGTCAGTAGTTAGTAGGTGTTCCAGTACTGAATACGCCTGGTGTCGGAGCTGCCCGACAATCTTTCGCAGAAGAGTTGTCCGAATTTGATAGGATGACGGTCCCATGAGTAACTCGATAGTTAACGTTAAGGTGATGTGGACTATACTGGCCATGGAAAAGAAGTTAGTTAGCAAAAAATCGAACAATTTTTGGCATTATAAAATACGTGAACATTTCGTTATGCTTCAATCACTGAATCACACCTCTGCGCTGGAGCGTTGACCTTTGAGAAAACTGCCAAAAACTGCCTGAAACGAACGAGATTTGCCCTAAACCTGCTTCCAGGACACCCCTGAGAGCCGACAATATAACCTTTTAGTGTGCATAGCAAGCGAGATTTGTATTTGGACGTTGGCGTACCGACCAAATTTGCGCGCTGTGGCACATTCCTGGATTCTGCCTTAACTACCGACACCTGGCGGTTGATTTTGCTGCCGAGTCCGATCCCGCTTCACGTGAGTCCTAGAAATTGATGATACAGCTAGACGGTGTGCCGGCAAAAGCATCGCTGTGAACGCAGCCTAACACTGTTCGTGTCCTTGTTGATATAAACTCCGACAACCCTTTCAATATTTGACTTTCTGGTGACCTATCCTTTTTAACTTTCTCACAGACTGGCGACGAATCTGCAACAGGACGGCATCCGCCAGCACCATCCACCGCTTCCAGCATGCCCACTCTGACATCGCGCATTCCGCGTACGAATCGGTCTCGTTGGACACCTTCAGACCCAAGGCACCGTCAATTCGACAATGTATACTTTCTTTACCACTCTCGTCCATGCCGCGTGGTAGTGTACATAATGTCAACGAGAGGAAGAAGGCATGTAACTTCTCGACAGCATCTTCTGACAAATCAATCGCTTAAAACCGTAAATGTGCAAAAAGACCTTGGAGTATTCGTTAAAGACCATCCAATCAGAGCAACGCAGTGTTCTAAAGTCACAATACAGGAAACGTCAACTTTGAAGGTAATACGTATGTTGGACGGTCGCAAAATTGCATGTGGATATCCTCGGCAAGGTATACGGTACATATGTCCGACCACACCTAGAATATACGGCACAAGCATTGTGGTCGTGACTTCGGAAAGACAGATATTCTTGAAAGTGTACAACATGCCAATAAGTTTGTTCGTGAACTCAAAAAATTGACGTACGAACAGTGCATGACCGCCTTATACCTCCTCTCTCTCCCATATAAATAAAACAGAGGTGAATCTTTACGAAAGTTTCAGTTGCTACGGAGACTTGATCTTGCAGCGAACTGGGGGAATCTTTTCTAAATTATACTGAAGACAAACCTTCAGCGTCCTGGTTGTCAACTTAAAAAGGGACTGTGACGCACCAATCACCGTTCCGTCATTCGACGGTGGAATCCTTTAATGACGTAGGTTGAGCGTTCTACCAATGTGAATGCGTTTGAGAGACGTCTGGATACTCACCTGTTAAAGTTCAGCTAGGACTCCCAAACCCCACCTAGTAAGTTAGTTACGACTACCAACATGCTACTATCTTCATTCCAATAATCCGTTTTGTTTACATTACCTTTAACGCTGATGTAAATACTGCGAGCCAATACGGCCCATATGCGCTATTCACTGCTATTTAGCCATTTCGCCAGTTTTTTAACACTCCTGTTTCACTACCATTCTTGTGCATTTCACATGCTGAGATTACCTGTAAATGTTTGCAGCTTAACAGCCTTTCATACAGGCTTGAATTTTTTTAAATTCAGTTTTCAAGGGCTTCTCTCATTTACTCCACGTACACTGATTTAATTTGGTTTGATATTCTAACAAACAAACTATCGTCTTCGGTTTCTTAATGATACCCAACACCTACCCACTTCTGGTCTCTTCAAGTTGAAGGTGAGCTCGACCACTGACTTGGTGCTTCTCTGACTCATGCAATCTTCCACCTACCTCTTACTGCATTCCCATGTCTCCATTGGCGGGAAAAGCAGTACCTGAATGCCTCAGCGCACAAGGTCGGCGTCACTCCCCTTGGACTCATAACTGAGGAGGTAATTGGGTTGTGCGTAACGCATTTCGAGCCCTCATTGTATCCGTCTACGAGTATCACATGAATGTGGGAGAACAGTTAAGGATCCATGTGGACTTGCCATTGCTCGACTAAAACAAGCTGCAAGCCAATGCCGACCCTTTATAGACTCGGAGCGACAAATAACGGTATGGGGGAAGAGATAGGCCATTGCAAACGAGGTGAGATCCATGTATTCCAGCCGTCAAAGCAAGCGATAACCGATTACGAATACGGCTTCCTCTGCCTCCCAGTCGAGCAGCAAGTTATGCCGGCCAAGATAAGTTGTCCAACCAACGCTAAGAGAGAACGTATCACACAGACACACTAGACAGAACCAACCAAATACTGTTTGAGAGTTAGTCAGTGTTCGTTTCCTTGACGTGCTCCAATTCGCATCGTGGCTACCACATCAATGAACGCACATTTTGTGTGGTATCGCGCACTTGTAATCGCATTCTGATCTCGCCCTGAAGTGCGCAGTTTTCCCATCTCATCCACGACAGTCCCTCTGATCGGACCATCAATTGTCCATTGTCTTACACTATGCGACCAGGAGGCGATGGAGTAGTTACGCCTATAAGGGACGTTTTGATACTTTTCTGGTCGGCGGTGTGTGCCGTCGTGAGTCATTACATCTTGCTTCGTATGCCAAGATTCGCGGGTCAATGAATCATACAGGAGACAGGATGAAGTGGAAGAAGATATCAAAAGAACATACGGGCCACCAATTAGTACTGGGGCTCCGTCGTTAACGTCAACCACGGTCACTGTCAGCGATCCGGTAGCACTGAAATGAGTGCCGGACTGGAAGGCGGGTTGAATATTGGTGGCAGTGATGGGCAGATAGAAGCGAAGTCCACCGTCGCGCTCGTAGTCATAAGTCTATAAGGCAAGGGCCGAGATCTTAAACTAAACCCAAATAATCAGAAAATTAGTAGACTTTGCACAAACAGTATCTAAAAGAAAATAGTCAGGAGGAGAGGAGAGTACTGCATTGACAATAAATATCTTTCCATAACAGCACTTGGCAGCGAAACTCTTAGAAAACTGAAAGCGTTACTCTGTAGGATGGTCGCGATGTAGATAAGAATGGGGCGTGCAAACGTCGTCCGGTCATTTATCCTGATTGTAGGACAGGATATAGGGAAGTCGACTTTCCTTTAGAACCTCCGTAGGACTAGCTGTGACAATGAGCCAGGAATGACGACCGCAGTCTCACAAGTCTTTTTAGTAATACTCGTTGAGGACTGACGACACTTTTCTGTGCAACACTCGGCCGGAACCCTAAGACAGAAAGAACCGCCTCTACTCCACCCCGCCACCAGTAAGGATTCGTATAAGTCATTCTACCGTGTCTGCACACTTCAGATTGCGGTCAAGGAGACTTACTGTCGAAACAAAATGGGAAACGTTTGATTTAACCGTCATGCTAGCATTGTGGCGCCTGGATACCACCTGTGCAACAACACGATTTCCGATATCTTCTGACTAAAGATCACGGACGCCTTAAAATATCGTCTTGGGATCTGGCATTCGTAAATTGGTAAGTTGGAAAAAGGCGACCTTTTGCATACCCAATGTCCGCAGGGTTTCAGAAAATAATGTACTCCCAAATGTGGAAATTAATTATTACCGGTTAAGGACCCAGTGTTCAAGTCGCAGGTCTCCGCCACCTGAGATTCAACGCGGCTGATCGGGTAAGACACCGGAACAGGAACTTCCCAGTAATACGGTTTGCTCTGGGCTAAATATTAGGTTGGGTACCTGGTCCCGTATCCTAACTATAGCTCTAGCCCTAAACTTCACCCTAACGCTAAGCTTTGTCCCAATCACCCCAGAATTTGACACAATGCCACGTGAGGGTATTCTACTCCCATGTCCTACCGCTGGTTGGTTGACTAGCCATCCAGAAATGGTCCCGCCTTTTTCATTTATCCCTGACGGCAGCACTTCTCAAGAATGAAACATAGACTGAAGTTAGCTCTTACACTTTACCTCGAAGGTGTTCCATCACTGAGGGGTACACTAAAGTGGCAGTTCACAGATCACATTGTGGAATGAACATACGCGACCCGGCTTGTTTCGGGATCACAACCAGCAGTCCTTGCAGGCGATTGCGTACAGACCAGCAATCAAAAGCGCAGAAGGTGAGTGGCTAGTAGGTATCACAGCGATGCTCGGTGTCTTCGTTCAACGCTCCGTTGTGTCGAGGCCACTCATCCCCCCTCTGTTAGTGTCTGGGGACGCACTGCCCCTGCTACAGTCTGATCGACCGCAATACACGCATATTCGGACGTCCACGCTCCACCTGAACAGGCCACGCCTCGGCTATAGCAACACACGCTACTTGGACACAAGGCAATTGAGCTTGCTCCAGAAAACATAAAAATGCTAACAATACAGTCTACCTCTCTCTCTCTCATACAAGACTTTGCACGACCAGCCCTCGCTCTGGTATCGCCAGTGACCTGATAATCGTGGAGCTCAAAGTACAACCGCTACCCTATCAGTCATGAGTATTCCAGGGATGCTTCTGAATCATTTGCCGTTACTAGACAACCAAAGTTTGAACACAGATCCGGACGACCGGCGACTTGACAGGACGTTAGCACGCAACTCATTTGGCAGACCATGGGACTCAGGTGCACCATGAATCACCGACGATCTGGGGCTGGCGTAGAGCTGGCCGATGACGGAGGAAAAACCAGAAATCTTGTTTCCCTTGTTCTTGCCAGTCCTACAAACTAAGTGCAGTGACTGAATGACGTCAAAAAACAAACCGCCCAGGCAGCACATCATTTCCGCCAATCCTACACACTAGTATATAACGAATAAGACATACACGCAGCAGGTAGCAGATGGCTTATCCATTGTAGTCCTACGCAGAGAAACTTGCCTCCTCTTGAACTTAATAGTTTGGTCCCAGAAAAGTCTATTCCTTGTCATACGTGTCAAAGCGCGAACTAGGTTTTAACATATCCTGAACATTTAAAAATTAACCGATATCCGCGTTCCACAAAGGCGGGTCATACCACCCATCAAAAAACATTCAAAACTGTCTTAAATAATAATTTGCTTTTGACGAGGCTAAGCAAACCCGCGGACAGTTGCTTGCGCGAATTATCGGCAAAGCAGTTCAATGTGTTTCTATGTAATGCTTCTATTAAAAACCGGAAATATAATTTTCATGTTTCTCTCCTAAGAATTCGTTTCAACACGAACTTTAAGGCATCCAACTGAGCGTCAGGAATAAATGATCAAAACATGTTCCATAAAACAGGTACATTTAATCGGGGGGGGGGGGGTTCAACCAGAAGCCATTACATCCTAGTACATAAGCTAAAGAGACAATAAACAATGTTATTGACAGAAATGAGGATTTCACAGAAAAACCCAAGTAGAAGGGATTGACCAATCTTGGCTTGTCCTTATTATAAGGTTACATCCCGACCCCAGCCGCCATAGTGGCCTGACCATTATCCAACCCGCGTCCGAATCTCAAATGTATACTTGTAGTCTGCGTGTGGCTAGCTGATGACCGTGATGGAGTCTGAAATATGCGTCTAAGTCTGCCTTGCCTACTCCAGTAACATTTTTTGATTACTGGTCTTTTGCTACTTTGTGAATACCAGCGGAGTTCCGTGCTGAATTCTCCAGCCCAAACGAAACTGATCATGTTCCATTGTATAACGACCACATATCGATGAACCCCATTCCTATGCGAATTCAAAGTGAAGTTGAGGATATGTCCTACACTCAACAGTAGTAAATAGTTTAGTGTGTAGGGCTACATATCTGACAAACCGTCAAGTAATTTTCCAGAAGGTCCTCACAGAGTGCGATTTAAATGATTAACGAGAGTTTGTGAAAATGGAAGTTGTAAAGATAATCTGTCCCATCAGTATCCAATAGTCACAACTATCGCTCAACAGCGCAACCAACAGCTTCATTCCACAACTTCATTCTGTCACTAATTACGTTAAACGGCGTGTCAACGATGACAGTTTACTCTTACCCATGACGTGGCCATACTGCGTATGAAGACTATTCCCTAAACTGCCACTACTACCCACAAACGGATAACGAAACTCGTGGCTACAAGTGAAGAGAGAGAGAGAGAGAGAGAGATGGGGGACACTGAAGTAGGAATAGTTGCCCGTAGTAGCTTTATCAGCCAAAATAATCATAAACAGAATGCGGGAGAAACAACTTGGGGCGAACCTTGAGTGCCATGATATCTCCGATAGCGGACACTTGAAAGTCGGCGTGTTCTGGTGTGGAGACATAGGTTGACTGGGCATTTTGTCCAATATCGGCGTCTGGAGCCGCAAGACGAGCAAATGCCGTGTTAGCCGGCGTGTTTTCCGGCAGAGCAATTGTCTGATCGGGATACGGCCAACGCGGGAACTCATTGTTGACGTCAGTCAGAGTCACTTTGACCACCGCGTAGGACGCATCGACTGCGTTGGTGGCTATGACAGATACCATGTAGACCTACAGTGTGGTAAAACGTGAGAGGTTACAAAGGAAACCACAGGACTGGGAGAAATACGTCAGTCCTGCCTGTGTCTACAAAGTGCCGGGGAGTTTGGTTCCACTGCGAAATCGTCCCTTAGACTGCATGATACAGTAGGTGGGCTAACTCATGAAATGTCAGCCGAAATTCTGAAATACAATCTCGTTTCGAAAAAAAATAATTAAATAGGGTTGTAGAACTAATTATCATGCAGCATAATTCTATAATAATCCAATTACCTCAGGGTGCCGGCACTCAAATAAACTTCTTTCCGACTGCATGCAAGAACTATACCCTGCAAAAATGACTACTTGAGTAGCATGAATTTTTCTTATTGATTTTTGATGCCCTTAAACATTCAATCATATTTCATGAAAAACATGCGTAAAAATATTCATTATTTTGCTCATTCGGTAGAACATTACGTCTTCTTCAAAATTTATACTCGAAGGAGAGGTACGATTCGGTTTTAAAAAAGGTTCTAATTGTGAGATTTTTTAATACTCTGAAGTTGCCGTTCATAAAATGCCATGTCTCTGTATATACCAAGGTGGCTTGTAAAGCTAACAATATGGTTCAAATCCACTGCCAAATTTTATGAATTCCATGTGGTTTTCTCTTAATACCGTAGAAAAATGCAGGGTTTTGCGTACGCGGAAAATATACGGCCTGTAATTTGGAAACCCTGAATGCAAGTATAACAGCAGGTTGGGTTCGAAATTATTCGGGAATTGGAGGAGTCTTTGAAAACCGAATTAGAACCTTCCTTCGAGTATAGAACTGGAAGAAGAGGTGGTTTTCTACCGAATGAGTAAAAGACTGAATATTTTTGTGCGTGTTCTTCATAAAATATAATTGTATTTTTGAGGGCATCGAAAATCAATGAGAAAAGTAGTCATTTTTGCTGAGCATAGTTCTTGCCTGCAACCGAAAAGAAGTTCGCTCGAAAGTCAGCAGCCTGAGGTATCCGGATTAACATAGAATTATGCGGCTCGATCGGGGTAACATCATAAGTCTTGGAAATGCAAGTAATTTAAGTGGGCTGGCCAGGTCGTATCACCAATCCAAAGGCCGGCATCAGAACAGGAATAAAGTGGATAGTATCGCGGGCAAACAGCCGACAACAAATTATACTTACTGGCATTCCTAGCGGCTCATCGCGACTTAAGCCTTTGATGACCTTCAAGGAGCCGGTTGACGAGTCGATCTCAAAGTTGGAAGCAAAGGCACCGCCGAGCGAGTAAGTTATCCGTGGGTTGTCATTGGGATCGGTGGCCTTAGGCTGGAAACGTATAGCCAAGGCCATTAGCCAAACGTAGTAATTTCCGAATGTTTAATCGAATACAAAGAAAGCACAATCCATACTACTTATTTTTCCAAAGGAAGGGAAGGAATAGCATAACTGCAGAACTATGCAGAAGGCGAAGGAAGGAAACTTGAGCTTCCATCAATAAAGTCAACTCGCGAGCACGTACTCGTATTCTGTCAAAGTAAACACACCTCTTGGGGTACCATTCAGGCCTTTTGTCTACAGTATCTACCTCTTAACTTCTGCAAGTCTGCGATCCCCAGTTCTTTAAAACTACGCAGTGGAACTATGGTTTATTTAGCAACATCGGCGGATTTCTGTTTTTGGGAAAGTGCATTGTTGAGAATACGGATCAGCGAGTGAGATCTTCGAATAAAAGGCATACGTTCGGATATGTATACACCTGCAGTCTCAAGGCTGACCGCCCATTTAAGATGGTTCAGTTTATCGGGACGTCCCCTGAGTGTCTATAATCTACGGTTGCCAGCCCCGATACACGGGCGCCCATGCGAACGATGATCGGTCGGGGCGCGCGGAAGAACTTCCGGAGCAAAGGCTGTGGGGGCCATCAGCTTCCACTCCGTTTGACTTGTCACAATCCTTACTCCGCCTTTTGCGCGCTTGTGCAAGCTCTCGTTAAGGTCAAACAGCCTCTAAAGGCTAGGTGGGTGATAATTATCGAGGCCGCTGTCCGCTATTTGAGTGTACAGGAAAGAGGGTTTTTCACTGGATTATAGTTGAGGGATTATCTGGAGGGTTAATATCAGTCTTTGGCCTGTTCAGCGTCGGAATAAAAAATGGAGTACGAGAGGATTATATGCGCCACCCTCAGACAATATCATCACATGCTCTATAATTATTTCGTTCACATGGCTTGATGGGGAGCCTGCAGCCCCCGTCCGTTTAACCAATCTATCCCTCTTGCTCATAATAGTAGTAATTGTGGCGGCAAATATGCGTTCAACTCCTGGTCATTTCCTATGCCAGCGGCTGTCTGCCGGCCAGATTTAGCGGTTTGACATTTCAGTGCGCGATTTGTCCCACATCATGATATAAACATAGGCCTTAGACGTTTTACGTCTGCAGTAATTAACAGCCACATCTAGTGTCATGCATTACGTCCTAGGTCTAATCATACCACTGGTTTCCAACGGAACGAAACGAGAAGGTTGACGTTATAGTGTGCTATGCTGTCTGGGCAATTATTAATGCAGACAAAACGTCGTTCAGGGCTACTTTTATTAAAATAATGATTAATTGTGTGCCGTAGCGTCTACATGCTCCGGCCCGTAAGAAGCCACTGCTATGAGTACAAGCAGGACGTACTGCGAGCTGGACAATCTAGTAGTTCACTAATGCGGACGAAATAGCATATAAGGGTTATGATTAGAATTATGAATAATAGCATGATGTAGGACGAACCACATACCATAATTCCAGACTGATAAATCTGGTCGGTAGAAAGCCACTGACATGGGAAATGACTAGGATTCGAATGCATACTTGCCATCACAATTACTACTACTACGACTACTACTGCTACTACTGCTACTGCCACTACTACTACTACTATTACTACTACGACAAGGAGGGAAAATGAGTTATACGGACTGGGTCTGTAGGTTGACCGGCAAGTTATTTTGAAGAAAAAAATAGGAAATACGTGATAACATATTTCGGAAAAGGGGGGCATACTGGCCTCCCTTATAGGAAATTGGGTGAACATGAGTAAAAAGTTCGAAAAGGCATAAAACGGCATAGCGCAATAAGAACTTTTGTGTCCGCAGTAATGAACTTGGTCGTTTGAATAACATCTGGACCCCAGGTACTCCTAGAAGCACAATGCAGTGAAAGCGAAAACACTACTTGGATTGAGTTTGAATAAAATGCGTATTTGGCGTACACTGGGTGTGAGAGTGGGTGTACTCTGCTCCTGAATGGTATACTCATAGGTTTTCTGTGAGAAAACAGGTAAATTTTGATTGGACTTCGTCACGTGCACAGTAACGTCAGTGCTGGAAGACGTCTGACCGTCGGTCACCTCAATTTTGAAGTTGTGAACCTAGGAAAAATAGACAAAAGACATTAATAGATTCGAAGATGACAGTCTGAGTCAGCAATACATTCAAAGTACAGTGGAGTTAAGAGCGCATTAAAACGTTAAAATCGCGGGAAGAAAATCAGCATATATTATCGGTCAGAAGATGTCGGCCTTGTAAAAGTGCTAAGAAAAGCCTACATGTTGAACGCTTATGTGTGGCTAATTCTGGGGTCCTTACGCAGGGAATTGCCTATTTATTACAGCTGCTTAAATAACAGTTGTCCGTCCAAGAAATGAGCCTCCATTGATTTTAATATCACAAACTGGAAAGCAAAGGTGATAATTTAAAGAAGGTGGTTCTGATTGTTCAGGTCAGGTTAGTCAGATTAGGTGAAATAGGGAACGATTGACAGGGAAGTGAGAGCGGAAGCAAGAGTAAGTGGAGCCTGAGCTATATAAGTTTACTACTGAAATTTTGGCCGAAATACTGGAAGATATTTCCGATTAAAAAGAAATACGTAGGTGCGATCCCACGATTGATTATCGTGAAGCGTAGTCGCAAGATATTTCAGTCACGACAGAATGCCAGTTTTTGGAATGTGATTCTTTCCGACGTCTGTAAAAACCACACCCTGCAAGAGATGGCTATTTAAGCAGTAGGCGTTTTTCCCTTGATTTTCAATGCCCTTATAAAGTGGAACATATTTTGTAGAAGGCATGCACAAAGTATTCTTATATCCGTTTTGTAGAATCTCACGTTTTTGCTCAAACTTCGCACTCGAACAGATGGTAAATTACGTTTTCAAAAAGCTTACAATTATGATATTCTTTAAGATGGCAGCCATTAAAAATTTTATGAGCCTTATATCGTACCTTCCTAATAGCATTACAAAATCGACAATTTTCCTTATGTAGGAAGTGTATAGCTTGTAGATCGGAAACCCGATCACAAGTGCAATGATATTTCGGATTCAAGATTATTTTGGAATGGAAAAAGCTTCCTTTAAAAGGGGATAATATCCTTTTGGGTACAAAATTTGCTGAAGAACGCCACTTGCTATAAAAGGAGTGCAAGGAAGGATGTTTTGTGCATATTTCTGCAAACTTATATCAGAATTTATGTGTACATCAAAAAGCAGTGTGAACAATTCAAACTATTTAGGTAGTAACTTTTATACAGTGTGGTTTTGTCAAATGGCCGGAAAGAAGCGCAAAAGCCCACATCCTAGCGTGGCCGAAATACCTTGGGATTGTGTTGCATTATGATCAGTATTACAATCCCACCTCAGTAATCCTTTCTAGCACAAAAATCATTTCAGAATCTCGTTTAACACTTATTGAGAAACGGCACCAATAGTAGGTGGGAAGGACGGTGCTCCCTTCTACGGGGCGCACCGCTGTTGCGCGAACCCAAACCGGTGTGCGCACTGGGTTCACGGTACGCGTTATTCGGCCTATGAGAACCCTGGCTGAGGTCTGGACTACAGAGATACATGAGAGTGGAACTCGTTAGGAATGTGGGAGGGGGGAGGGTTCACACACGGCCACCTGCTGCATCCGCTACCGTGGTCAGTTTTTCACTAGAACATGCCACTCATATGAAACAGGGAAGATCTAGCCTGAATTGGGGGCCCAGTTACTTCACTTTAAATCACTAGACGCGCTGTAAACTCTAAACGGCTATCATGACACGCCAATAATTGTAGCCTGAGGTAGCTAACCAAAAACATAGCCTGATTCAACTCATACTTGGCAGCCAGGCTTCAATGTCTCCCTCTTTATGTATAAATTTTGGCACTGTTAATTGTGCTTGTTACTAATTTATAAGACTACCTTTTCAAGGGGACGCAGAAAGTGACCTAGTAAGAAGACGTCTGAAGACAGCGATCGCTAGCGCTTTCCCCGGCAGCGAATTTATGTGTGTTTCACTAACTCTTCCCTCTTATGCTTGGGAGGTAAAGGCCGACTACCGTTGCAGGCCACATCGATGTGTATTTACTCATTCACTTGCTGCTGTGGAGTGGGATACATTGACCGTACAAGGAGGCGCCTGGAAAAGAGAATACGTGAACACACACCGGCCTGGCTAGGCAGAGGTGAAACGAAATCAATTTCGAGTACTATTCTCGCACATCGATACGAGTCACCGAGTCGATGCCAAAGAAGGCTTTCAAGTTGTCTACCGGACACCAGCAAGCTTCTCCAGAGGCCTACGCCAACGGGTGCTAGCTACAGCCGAAGCGGTGGCTATACAGCTAGCCAATCCAATGTTATGTTATCGGAAGACGTTAACACAGGTGTTCTGTCTTCCGTGGCCAACTCCGACCTCAGATGATGGCAGTGCTGTGTGCACAACGTACCGACGTACAAACATTACTCAGAGCCTATGTCCCCCCTCCCCCTCCCCCCCTTGACCCAATGACCACGACACGCCGCCCACCCCATAGCAAGCCTCGCCATGAGGGTGGTGTGTAGTCCCTGAATCCCTTATGAACCCTGTAACTTCGCATAATTTCAACTTCTATGTAAGTGTTTTGGTCTGATGACGAGTTACCGAAAACAAGTGTTTGCCAAATTGACTTTTCACTTGTGTAAGAGTTTAAACCACTGTAGTTTTTTCGTGCGGAGTTGGGAGTTAGCACCTGCATGGCATGCTTAAACGGAATGCTCACCTCTGCAAGTCACTACGCCCAAACCCCATCTCATTTATTCTAGCTTCACACACAAGTCAGCACGGCACCGCTCAGGGCAGTGGAGGCTCTCGTCGCTTGCGACAAACAAAGTATCGTCAGCAAAAGCAAAGAAGTTTCGTTCTATCCCTCAGAGGGAGTTCAGAGAACGGTCTGAATCGCGTTGGAGCATGCTGGTCTTGAGGAGCGTAGAAACACACGATTGCGTGCAAGCAGTGAAGAGGGGAGGGGACTTTGATTGCTGGAACGAGGCGCACTACCGCAAACTGACGGGGGCGGGGGGAGGAATTAACAATTTATGCGCTGGAACATCTTTCCAAATAGGGTTAATGAGACTGTTCTGATTCACGAATCGGCGAGAAGGTATGCATCCAAGGAAAATATCGGGAAAACCAGGATGCCAGATTGTGCGGGAATGAAATGGCCGTTTTGTGGGAGTCGGTTAAGCTTCCGTAGATGTTCTCAATACGGGACAAAATCACGATTTCGATTTTGCGGCCACATCTGTCCTGTAGAAGCGTGGACATGACAGGGCGCGAGATGATTGAGGCGAGGGAATCGATCCATACTTAACCCCCGTCATCAGACACTGTGTTGCCCGGCTGACGGACGGCCTCTTGATGCCCTCAGTCTCAGACTCAAGGTGGGGCTGACTGACTAGTTCGATAGTTTCACTTTCCACTTTAATGCTTTCGCATATTTTTGGCCATGAATTCCAGAATCAGTACAAAAGCTCGGATCAATAATTTACCCTTGCCGACGATTGATTTCTTCTTTTTATACTCAAATGCTGCGTTTGTTGCGCGTCGCGTCTTACGTGGCGATGGAAACGTTTTTGTACTGCACCAGATTTCAACTGTGATCTCGAGGTTTGAGGGGTCTACCGAATGTATCATTTTGTGAACCCATGAGACTACTGATGGAACGACCTCCGGCTGATACTCTCACGTGACATCTGAAGAGGCATAGTTTGTGTCCGAATGCCTTGATCGTATGAGAGCGAAAAGATTAGCCCACATACTAAAGAACACACTCAAAGCATTATTTTAGTGGAACACAGTAACTCGGGCTGCAAAATTTTGAAATCACTCTGATTGAGTCCTCTTAAGACATCTGCAAAACCCTCTTGACCAAAATCCTCCCCACAGCCTTGTTAAGAGTTGATAGACATTGGATGAAGGGTTAAATCGACCACGGCAGTGGCAATTGGCACAGATATGAGATAGACCGCCATGTAGAACAGAATGGCAGGGCACCCAGCCCACAATCAGAAGGCCGACAGTTCAATTGTGTCAGATGACGCAGGTTTCCCGACAATGCGAGTCTATAGGTTCCCTGTAGTCTGAAGTGAAACACCAACTGCCGTTCATAAAATCCAATAGGTTTCGTTATCCTAAACTCGAATAGATGGCCCTCTGAAAAGCGTCGTGCACCGATTGACACCCATACTTGTGTTGTTCTCAGCTCGGGAAATTACATTTAAGTCTGCAAAGACGGAACGGTCTTTACAAACAGGACCGACACCCTTCTATCCCAAAACATGAAATTTAATTCCCCGTTTGAGCTAAACAATGATGTCGCCTATTGACCATGCCCTAATATCCCTGGAAGAAATGATGTTGTACATTAACTGTTAGTTTAAACTGCAATTAGATATGCATCTCTCAGGTTCCACGCCTATGTTTCGATGGGCTCCTGCTAAGTGCAATTCCGCACAAAACGACTATGAGAGATGAAACCATCTTGGACTTCTTCCATAGTCATAACTTACTACACCAAAATATCGGAACTCACTGTAAGGCAGTACGCAGAGCCTAAGTAATGATATCGGTGGGATTCTCAGTGGAAAGCAAATAGGTGCATTAGTCAACAATTCTGTTTTGCTGTTGCGAGAATGCTGGAAGTACGAGATTGAAAGGAATAGAAAGCCTTCGGCCTGAGACGGAATGCATCACTAAAAAACTACGGTAAGGTACCAAAATATGAAAATAGTCAATGAGCTGATTTATTGAAGCCTACGGAAAGTTTCACCTAAGCAGCTGAAGTTTACGCTCTACGCTACTCCGCATTCCGATTCAAATCAGGCAACTTTTTCTTGTTTTCTACATACTTGGATGTTGCAGATAGTTATGCGGGAGGTTTAGTACGTAGTGGTTGCCTGCAGGCATGTTAGCTGTCGGAGGGAGGGCAAGAGGACTTGCTTTGCGAATGAGTATGTCGCCTAGTCAACGCCTCCATGGTGGCACTGTTGGCCACCAACGCACGCACCTATGGGGATCTTCCCAACTGACTGGAGATAACAGCCCACTGGTTCGGCGAAAATTTTAGAGGAAGGGGTTGGATGACAAACCTCTTGAGATACGTAATCAAGACGCCGAGCTACAGTGATCACCCCGGTGACCGAGTTGACTGCGAAGTCCAGCACGATGCCCTGCAGCAGGTAAGCCAGCGTGGAGGTGTCGTCAGCGTCCTTGGCCTCCACTTGTCCGACTTTATGGCCAATGGGCGCCGTCTCGGAGACAGTAAACACGTAGGGCGTGTTAACAAAGATCGGTGGGTTATCGTTCACGTCCAGAATGTGGATTGTGAGCGAGGTTTCCACTGGCATTCAGAAAAGAGTGCAGAGCGGCGGGGTCAGACGGGGAGACAAAAATACCATTTGTTAAATAATTTATCAAATTGACTGCACATGTATTAGTGTTAGAGACCAGACGCGTGTTTCGTCGAAATTCTGCCGCTGCGTGAGCCAGCTGCAAGGAGTTCGGTTCATCGGTGGCCCAAAACGTTCCTGTGTGCTATTTCGTGGGTACACCAGTTCTAACATTTTAGTTTTTATTCTTTCCAGAAATAAGTATGACAGATCATGAAGAATGAGATTTTATAGACTCAGTCCAAAAGTTGAAATGAATATTAAAGCTGAAACGCATCACTTTCAGCAGAATAACCGCGTAATATCCATAAGATGTCTTAACAGTGTATTTCCATGGATTTAGGCAGGCTGAAAGGTCATTTTGTGCCGAGTAAGCTTGACCAAAGCGATTCCTGATTCATTTTAAACTTCGAAACAAGGAAATTTACGAAGTGTCCCCTATTGAAGACACGGACGAGTGACAAATTCCGCAGTTTTGGTGCGACTAATTAAAAACAAAACAGCCCTGACCGTTACTGAGCCCACTTAGTACTTATCGATAGGTAAGGAATTGGAAGGCTAAGGAAATTACAACCGGTAAATTTTGTTAAATGCACATTCAGGACGACCGTACTCAAAAGACAAAAGATGTAACGAAAAAACAGAATGAAAACAAAATCGATTTTCTGGAGAAAAGCTTTGTCGACAGCAAGCTTTGCCGGAGAAAAGACCTCCTGACCAAAACTACCTCGTGTCTCAAAGTTTCCTTAAACAGTGCAATTACTAGTCTTTGATGATGTCAACTTTGTCGCTGTGCGATTATCTGCGAGAAACCTGGCCCGGGCTTCCGGACAGAACGAAATGACGTCAAACCATCCTGCAACCACGTTCCATTGTCGTGCTCAGTCACATTCAGAATGGTTGGTTTCGGTTAGCCTAAAGAGAGAAACTCCGCTGAATCTGGGTTTGGCAGGCAGCTGGTTGGCGATGATAACCATGCCAGCGACGGTCATCCTAGCGCTCCTATCCCATTGGGGTGATCGATCGTTCTTGGCTCTCAATCGTCTGGGTTTTCGCAGCCTAAATGTCCTGATACAACTCAACGAACATGCTTCTTCCTGCAACCGGATTAGATTGGCGAGGACACCCTCAAGAAACTCAGTGGCGTTAGCCTGTTTAGACTTGAAATCTTGACGGACATTGTGTAGGCGTAGTGGCCGTGCACACAGAGGACTGAATGACCAAAATGTGACGCTCCACCATGTATACTCGAGGAAGTAAAGTCCATCTGCTCTTTGGATGCTCAACGCGAGTCTACGCATGGTGTGACAGTTTGTTTTCGGTTACACTAAGCTGACCTGACCTACCAACCGAGGGAGACCCACTAAATACAAGATCAGCAAGGTAATATAAACGATCATAGGGTCTAGCCGTAAAGCGAACAAAAGTAATTTTTAATGGAAACTTAGCATCTCGCTGATCCGCCATGGCACTAACTCTTATTGAACTTAGTAGAACAGGTGCACCGATCGTGGCTTGAGAAAGCTGCTTCCATACTGCAAACTAGACAACTTGTTACGTTACTCCGTGAACTGAATGATGGTCGACTCCCTTGAAGCGCTGTACAAGTCAGCTCCAGAACATTTCGTCGATTTGTAATTCTTCACAAACTTAATTTACCGTTATGTTTTGCACATGAAAACTGAATGCATTTGTCCAGGTTATGATTGTGAATCCTGCCATGTGTAAAATGGTCCATCATGAACTTAATTTTGACGACAGGAATTAAGCGGTGATGTTGCGTATTTCACATAAGTAGACCTACTTTGTGGGAGTTAGCTCAGCTGCAACATGATACCCACTGCTCGCGGTTGTGGCCGATCGAATTGGCAGGCATTTGGAACTCCGTGTTTACCCATGATTCCATCAGCAGCCGTCATAGAATACCTGTTTATTTCGAATTCCATCACAAAGTTATAGATATGTAGCCTTGAAGATAGAAAGCTCGTCGGAAAAATCGAGTTGTATTCGGGAATTTTCGAGCTGGGGGCACCAACCCGTTGTCAGACGAAATAAACAGAGGAAAAAGCGCAATGGTCAGACAAAATTGGTTGGAGTGACAGGGCAGCCACTAACAGGTAAGCAACTAATGTATGAAAGGGGGGATGGAGACATAATTAGGCTAGGCTCTATAGTGGGGGTGGAAAAGGGAACTGTTTCAGCTCCCTGTGTTGGAGGGTAGGGGGGGGGTTGACGATTCAATGTGACTACGGACAGTGGACTTAATGGTCGTCGATCCGGCATGCGGGCAGAGGTCAGTGAACTAACGTAGAGGCGTTAAGGGTTGCAGTTGAGGTTCACTGTGTCTGGGGTAGGGGGCGGCGGACAAGTGCGATTATACATGGCCCGGTATGAATTAGCGATTGATGCTAGTCGTGTTAGTGCCAGGCTTCGATGAATTCTCGGGCCTGTTTGGTGTTTGCCATGACAAAAATTTCAGTTCCTTCCCAATTGAAGTGATGGTCACATTCATACAGGCCATCGACTTGGACGTGTATAAACGAACATAACCTAGCCATCCGCCGACGTGGGCCTTGGTAACTCGTGTTTGCGCATGCCCTCGAATACGACCATCTCTTTAATCAAAAGTTGAGGCATACCCATGCATGAATACAGGGGATGTTTGGCCTATGCTAACTAATCCAAAAGGGCGGAATCGACCCACGGAAGAGGATTCGTATCCGCCTGATGGCTCGGATTCCTTCTTGAACCAGTCATCAGAGACAGCAACGGATGGAGGTTGTTGACGCACGAAAGGGCGCAGTATTTACGGGGTTAGCACAACACTCCTGCTAAGTGCAAGGCCCCCAGTGTTTATCTCACACATTCCCATTTGTTATGGTGCTGACTTTATTGTCCGCCTTCAAGCCATTGATTACCGCGGGTTCGTCACCGGCACCTGCAATAGGCCACCGGGTGCAGTCATTCGTTTTGGGCACCCATCGGTGAACGGCCGCCCGCACAATTTTACCAATTAGTGCATACAAGTGCGATTTAAGACCGGACTGCATTCGGCGGGCAAAATCGATTATTTCCGTTTGTTTCCTTTAACTCTAAGACTGCCTGGACAGAGTGGCTTGTCGATTCATGACGATTAGTGATTATATCCTTCGAATAACCTTCGTACCGCAGAATTCACCAGCCCGATGCGGAGAAATACGGCCACAAACGGTGGAAGAGACTGCATCTCCAGAAGTTTGCGTGCAGGGAAAGCGGCCACAAAATCTCTGCACCTGCCGTTTGACTTTGGCCGGAGTTTTGAACTCCTGCAAAGTCATAACATGATTCACGGAGAGCATGACTTCTAACAATGAATTAACGAAAGGGGCTCACCCGAGTTTGGCTCTCCCGATCCGAAAGAAGATGGTGCTCCGTCCTTTGCGCTAATCTGAACGACATAAGTCTTCTTAGTTTCATGGTCCAGAACATCCACATTGGTTCGCAGTATTGAGTTATGGATGAGGAATTTAGGAGAATCGGTCGTTGGTACCAGAGAATAAGTGACCTAGCCAAGGAAAGCCAGAAGCTAGAAAGTTTGTAATGAGATATTGCCGAACAATGAAAGCAGAAATTAGGGAGAACAGTTCAGAAAAAGTCAAATGGACTACGCGACCATTATGAGAGTTGGAAAGACCGGTTTTTCAGCCAAATCTACTGCGCTAAGTTAGCGAAAACATTCCGACACCAAGCTTGGCTACAATCACTAAGAAGATTAACGTCAACTGACTGAAAGCTCAAAGCACATCTGAAAGGTTTGACGGCTTTGCTGGACAGTCTTGGTTTAATTTTCGTTGATAAATGCTCCTGTTTATACATTACTCGACTTTATGCGGCTGTGCTGGACATGGAATGTGAGTCTCTCACTGCATCACAGGTTACCTTGAGCCACATTCCAGGGGACACTTATCGCCGGGTCCTAACATTATCTCTAACCTCAATGCTAACTCTAACACTGATCCTAACTCTCTTGAATTTAGGACAGGGTCGCCTGCAATACAGAGGGGTCCATAGTCTCGTGCCCAACTGTTTCTAAAGGTTCTGGTACGGAAGTGCTGGGAGAAAGGAACTTCCGTATGCCCCCTCCAATCAGGTCAACTTGGCAAAAACACTCCCACATAGCACTTTTTGCCCTAAAGTAGCGAATCAGTAAATCAGTGAAACTAGAAGGACTGGCTTTCTTCCCACTGTCAGATAGCGATACAACAGTTTCCGAATGCAAACAGCCTGAAATATGGAACAGAGTCATTCCTCTTTGCATGGGCTGCACTGGGACGCCTTACTGCGCTGACTTCTGACTCATACTCTATCTGCTGTGATCAGAGATGTAAAGCACCGTTCACCGCTCTGACGCGGTTGTAAGAAAAAGGATCACATCCACTCCACTTCCTACAAGTGTTCTAACCTCAAGCGCTGTATGAGGTGGTAGGGCGACACGCAATCAAAAAGAGTTTATTAACCTTGTATTTTTGATTGTCCCATAAGAACTGCATCCAACGGCTTCAGGTCACAGGTTAGCCCCCTCATGCATGATCGCCCTTTATCGCATCGGTCAGCGGGATATCTCCGGGCAAAGCTGACCAGGAGATAAACCGGTTGAACCAGAACAGCCGAGCCAGATACACAAGTGCTCAAAGTCAGTTGAGCACCACCAGGTAGTCGCTAGAGAGGCCGGATGAGGATGGAGTAGCATTCCAAGTAACTTTGCCGTCTGTTCGGCCTAGCGCATGGACAAACGAGAAATTTTGCCAACGAATAAGACGTATTGGAGCAAAGGCGTTCTTCCAAAACCTCTGAAGACGTGATTGGAAAGCAGGGTCAATTAATCAAGCACATCCAGGTGACCGATAAATTAGGGAGACACGGGTGAGGCATCGCAGCTGAATAGGGGAATGTTCAAAAAAGCCTTTCACACCCTAATCTTAGTCATTTATCTAATTCAAGGCAAAATTCGGAAGTTTTGATGGATTCGACGGAGGTTGTATTAACCTCGCTTGGCCGGAAGACAGAAGCAAGTAGTAACAAAAAACTGTCCGCTCGCTGCCGCGACCGTGAATCCCGATTGTACAGCTTTCTTCGACTGCCTTTTCTTGAAAAAAAAGTGCGGGAAACGGGGCACTTATGGGCAACGGATTGTAGGAAAGTCTTCGACCAAGGCTATCACCGAAACAATAGATCGTGTAAAAATGACGGTATGATTAATAGAATACAGAGGGCCAACGTCTGGCATATCAAATATTCAATAAAATGCAGCGGTGTCACAGCGAGATTGGGACCATGAAACGTTAGTAAAAAAGTTCACAGCGCTACCGCTATTTGTCAGGGTTTTTGTCAAAAGTTCGAATTAAAAACCTGGGAACAAAAATACATTAAATTTCCTTAAATCCCAAGGAATTAAAATTCACCAACAAGGCCAGAAGGGTTGTAGAGGCTACATGAGCATGCACGGGCATGCGAAAGACATAGATCTGGCATATAGAGGAAGCAGCATGCGTAAACCTACAATTAAGCCAAGCAAGTGGACGGTAACAGCCACATCATGTTTTTGGATTCCAACAGCGTTCAAAAGCTGACCACTTACAGTACGATATTCCGGCACTGTATCGGTATCAACGGCGAACATCGTGAGCACCTCCGTTCCCCGCGGGCTGCTTTCGGGGATAGAGATCTGATTCAACAGCCAAAGGTCAATAAATTGCGGTACCATGTCGTTGACGTCCTCCAATTGGAAGACCAGCACCAGATCCTTACAGATATCTCCCAACTCGACATCTGTTGGCTTGCGACAACCGCGTACGCGGATGATATAGCGATTGAGACGCTGGTAGAGGAAGTTGGAACCAGATAGGAGTCGCAATGTCACGGCACTCGTGCCCTGCACAAGTTCACTGGTAAAGGGCGGGGGACTGTTGGACCAACCGGTCTGCTCGAAAGCTCCTGGAAATTGTTCTAAGGAAAGGCTGTAGTCAGCACCAGCTGCCGGCGTGCCAGTCACCTCAGCGACGCGAGCATGCACCTGGTTCTCCTTGAAGCGTGGAACGCTAAGAGGAAGAAATTGAGGAATGGCGAACAAACAGCACCAGGGAGAAAATCAACAACACCGATAGAATGTGCCAATGTCTACCTTGGCTTAACCTTCTGAAAAAGGTTGCGTAGGCAGACATTCGTCAGCAAAATACTCAATCAATGCGCTTTTTCAAAAGGTGACTTATAAAAGGAAGTGTTTTAATTGATCTTAGGCACATGTGACTTCCATTGTAGTGCGAAGGTTATCGAAGTATGTACAAAATGGTATACTTACGATTTAAATAACAATAATGTTTAAATGTATTAGTCACTGACAGCCTATCAACAAGTGGTTTTATGAAAATTCCATTTTTGAGACGTCCCTTCTGGCGAAGTCAAGCGAAAAACATGTCTGCCTCAGTCAACTGCATCCCAAACAATGTAAAATTGAAAAAAGATATGGCGAATTTCCCCGAAACCGATTGCAATTTGTAGTGGGCTGTTGGCTAACTACCATACTTGACATTAGGCATCTTCATGAATGATATTTAACTGTAAAGTTCAACGTAGAATCATGTTCAAACGCTATTCAACTTATACTGCTTTATTTGCGCGTTTTTTGCATAGACGGGCTTGCTGTGCATCGCACACTAAAATTTACTCAGCTAAAATGACTTCTGAAAATCTCGTTATTTTCCTATTTTTCCAAAAAAGTTGGCTTTTCTACTCAACGTTATATAAACGTTAATATTTTTTTAAGTTTCCAATTCGGTTAAGCTTCTCCACAATTATTTCAAAGCTGTGATTCATTCGTTTATGTAGTTTTGCGAGTGAGTAACAATCTTTCGTAAATTTCGATATCTTTCATCGGGAGGGTCACCTACTGCAAGTGCTGCGAAAGTCTCATACGTGCTTAGGGAAGAACAGCTCTCGTCTCAGTAGGTTAATTCTTTGCTTGAAAATTCGGCAACATGAACATTTTCAAAAGATGCCGTTTCGACTTCATTTCGCGAAGTAGAGTCAGATCCCTGAGTCTGGCATATCCAGAATCCCTCTGGGTCGATAATTCAAAAATTCCTGGAATTTCAACTTCGAACTCGACCTACAACAAGTTCGATGCAATGGACGATGATATTGGCTGCCAGTGTCTGCATTATATCCAGAGTCAACTAAAAAACAGCTAATGGAGTATTCGGAATAAAGGGTCCAAGGAGGTGCCGTGTATCAGTTCGAAACCAGTGGCTCTCCAAATGACAGAGTCCTCTCAAAATCCGGGATGTTGGTGCTGGCAGTAGAAGGAGGCAGAGTAATCATTTAAGCTTTTGTGAAAGCTGTTCTGAAGCACTGCATGGTGCACGATCCCCCTCAGACGATGTAGGAAAAGTTTTGTAGTTAGTAGCAAATAATAGTTCGCAAATCTATCTCCAGGTTTGGCCGGTACAGGCTGTTTTGCATTCACCCTTGGACGTCATGACCATAATTAAGAGAATAAAGGACTTTGAAAACTCAAACTACTATGTTACAGTTTGCCCAAGACGAATTATTTCTTCCTGATCGGACATGGGGCGTGGACAAGAAAGTATTCATTAAGACCCCCTTGTGCCCTAAAGGACTCGGCTGACAGTCCCATTCTGGGGAGGACGGAATTGAATAGATCGCGCAGTTTGAAAGCTACAACGCTGTCGGGGCACGGAACTGACCACATAACACTCGACAGAACACCATACTTACATCGAACTAAATATTTTATTGCGGAATCAGTCAAGTACGCAAGGAAATCCTATCACACATTCGATATACAGTAGCCTAGGATGCAGTGGAGTGCCTTTGAAGACAGTTAGGTAGGGATTCTTAGAGCTACGTCAACACAAGTATTCACTCTCGCATACTCCCTTTCACATAACACGGTTCTTTTTGACATGGCGTGCCTTCCGTACAAGAAACTTGAATGCCGCTAAAAATAGAATGGGGCTAACAACGCGGCCGCATTTTGTACGTTCTCTTTGTCATCACTACTGAGATTGTTTTCGGTAGGCGTGTTGATGCTCGTGAAGAATCAAGCTGCAGTAAAAATGGCAGGAGAGTGTTTCTAAAGTCAATTTTCTACACGTACATTTTTGTATGCCCTGTTTGCGTTTAAAAGTTGGAATTATGTTAAGGGCTCGGGGATAAGGGTTAGGGTTGGTTTTGGGGTTAGCGTTAGGATTGAAGGCTAGAGTCAGCGCTTAAGGAATATGATTGGGATTTAGCGGTTAGCTTTAGAGCTAGGTAAGGTTTAGTGTTGGTGTTCGATCTAGGCTCAAGGGAGGGTTTAGGATTAAGTTTGAGTTAAGGGCTGGAGTTCGAAATTAGGTTTAGATTTCAAAATCAGGGCTGGGTAAGGATTGGGTTTATGCTAAAGATAAGCCTCAAATATAAGGTTAGTGTTATGTTTAGAATTAAGGTCAGAGTTTTATTTAACGTTTCGACAATCGTTGGTTATATACTCAGTATTTCCATAAGTTCGTTACTAAGCAATTAAGTCAATGATCAGTTAGTTGATAGTGATAACTATTGCCGTTTCGTTACATTTTATAACAACTGACCACTTCGAGAAGGCTAGCGATTCGCCAGACATCTTACGACACACTATTTCAAATTATCCGCAGGCTTGTAAACCGAACTAGGCAACCTTCTTCGTATTTATGATTTTCTTATTTTAACCACAATATTTTCTCTCTAGTTACCATTTTAATCATCCATAAAACTCCATCTTACCACCCTTCCCCTTTTCTGCCCTGACCACTGGCTTGGGGTTTGTCAATGCGGCCGCGTCTTCAGCCCCTGCCCTAAGATAGACGGAACGACAACAGTTTATTCAACAAATGTCCCAACCTCCCCGAACTCATCTTCCGGAATCGTTTGATGAAAGCAACAGTTTCGAGGAAAACCTACTAAACACTAAACGTATGGTTGAATTTCTCAAGTTTAAGACTCAATATATTTTGCGTATCTGAGCGGCTATGCCTGATTGGAGATAATCCCCGAGGGCGTTCTTTACTGTAAATCACAATTTCGTGGAAAGGACCTAAAAATTTAGGCCAATTATATTCCGTAATGTAATTTTCACGATGTCTTTTCCTTTTTAAGGAAGAGCAATAATGGCAGAAAAAGTGGCAATACGATTCAGTTGCGTTAGGAACAGCCAATACGGTCATTTCTAAAACTCGTGGAAGCCAACAAAGCTTTATCTTACAGCCCGGAGTGACAGCTGACTTTACTCATTCAGAATACACTTGCAAAACTGCGTAGCAGAATTCTAAAAGATGTTGCATAAATGATGCGCCAAATAGTAGCACTAAATAGTAATAATATTTTGTAAAAACATGGTGCATGAGAAACAAATTGTACTCTACGAAAGGCTGGCAGTCTACTGCCCGCATTTTCGCGAATTTCACGAATACTTTGTGGGCCGTTTCTGTATGGTCTTTTCCTGCAGGCATTCCGTAAACGAACATTGGCTAGCTTCAAAAGGTGCAGCAGACTTACAAGGTACCGATTTGGAGTTGCGGTGGTAGTAGTGATGGATCGGTGGTAGTTTTTACTGTAACCGTGGCTGTCTGCCATTGTTTTGTCGTGGCGACCAGTGCAACCGGGTTCCTCGCCTCGACTGTGAAGTTGTACTGAGGCTAAGTGGAGATAAAGGGAACAAAATATGGAAAGATGAAATGTCTACCCAAACATAGTCACATAGACAATAACAAAATTAAATAAATTTTAAAAGACGCTGGCGGAGTGGTGGAGTCGGAGTTATACGTTTGTATAATCGGCACTAGTGACTGCAGGCAGATGGGTCGAGAGGGGGAATCATTCTCCTAGGAGTAGTTGAAAAAGGTTACAGGACTGCTTACCGCCGTCAGGATTCCATTGACCATGATCACACCGCTTTGACTATCTATTGTGAAGTGGGAAACTTGTGAAGAAATGCTATAAATGATTTCCGAATTCGACGTGTCCTGTTCATCCAAATCGATAGCGACAACGCGGACAATCTCGGTTTGCTTTCCCGTGCCAAAATTATGATTACGTTCCACCACCACGGCGTAGTTTGGGGGATCGAAGACTGGGGCGTGGTCATTGATGTCCTCTATAATGAGCTGAAAATTGCACAGATTCCAGAACTCCGGAACGCCTGTAGGAAATAAATGTAGAGAACTGGATTTACCACATGTCCTAAAACTGCAAATAAAGAACGATTATTCATTTTAAGACCTTGGTCGTTTGCAAGGCCACTGCCCTCTGGGTCCTCGTAAATGGTTAGATATTAGCCAGAAATAATGCACAGGCATAGGAATGGCATTTCATCTCTCTTTTAGTAAATATCACAGAGTGTCACCGTCAACGCACCCCAGTCCGTAGCTTTCACCGTAAAGTAAAGCTGATCAGGCAGGATGCCTCCATAGAAGCCTGCAGCCCGTTCCAATGGGACCACGTTTGTAATCACTCCAGTGCTGACATCAATTTGCAGGTACTTAGTTGGGGTAGAGAAAACTGTATTTCCAATAAGGGAGTACTTGATTAATGTTTTTGAGAGTTCCAAATCGTCCGCGTCCGTAGCCTTGACCTAAAATGTTGAGAATGACAATTCATGCATTAAGCTCAGCTGAATACGGGCGCTTCAGCTGCCGATCAAGATGTCAAGGAGGCCTGTCAGCTAGGCGCTAACCGGAGTGTGCATTTCTCGTCAGCGTTAATTATCCCGCCAGGCTTAGATGCTTAGGCCTAGCAGGTTTTTCAGTTTAACTGAATGATGTATACCTTCAGAACGACTTCCGACAAATGACAGAAGACTACGCAATTTACAGCGATATTCGAACCCCGACTGATATAAAAAAAAGTACTGCCCACCTTTACGAACAAAGGTTAATGACTCAAGCACTCCCTTTTTAAAAATACACTGTGGGGAGGTTGTACAGGAGGAGCAGACTGCACGAGGAACTCAGTCTGTTTCTGGAGCAGTTTGAGTGTCAATAAAATGTGGTAGAGAATCTTCAACTGTGAGGTGGCTAAGTAGTGTGGTTGACGCAGGGATTGGTCTAAAAAAAAACAAAAAATAGCCTGATCGCAGCCAGAATACCTAGGCAAGTAGGAAGTTTGGGAATCTCTTTAGCCAGTGGCACACTGTGGCCCGGTTTACATGAGGTGGTCTAGAGTCAGTACTTCCTCAGTCAAGAGTACGCTGTCAGTGGGGCCAAAACAATCATTAACTATAAGAGACAGCTTAGACAACAGCAAAGCCCAACAGAAGTCCAGAACCATGAAACTCTCCCTCGACTGAAAGAACAAAGGCTGCAGAAATGACTGCACATGTAAACTGTCGACAATTGGTCGAGAACTGCGTTAAATTCGAGAAACCAATGACGAAAAAATCCTGCCAAACTGAATTTGCTTGTGCATTGCATAACTATACGACCATCATATGGGTATAATTATGAGAACCCAGTAAACTTTCCTATACCGGTTAATTGAAACAATATGTTGTCAGTAAACAGGGGAAACTACAAAGGAATACCGATTAGAAGTAGGTTTTGGAAGGAAAATGGATACGAAGACGGACAAACAGGAAGTGATGTGGAAAAATGGGTTCATGCGACTACAAGAACGCGTTTAATCCTACGAGGTTAGCTCCCTCTCCTCTTCCTCCTTCGGCATGTTAATCCATAACAATTTCATATCGACTAGTAGCACAGGTGGTGGCAAATTTAGCGCACGAACTTCGCTGTTAGACGCTACATGTGTCCCAAAAGGAGCATGACAGTTTGACCGTCGTGTCCGAGGATATTCACGGCGAGCATGGAAGCACATAACAAGTCCAACCACTATAACATAAAAATACAGGTGCATAACAAACAATGGGACGTTTAGGGAGGAGTGGACGTAATAAATCATTATAATCTGCTCCCGCCACCTAAAAAGGAGATGGTGCAGTGAGGTTTACGAAGACCAACCATGAATGCTGGAGAAAAGGTAGTAAACATGTCGGTACGACTTGCGCCTCACTAAGTATTTTTACCAATTTTGCTTAGTCCTTTAGTTCTACGAGCGCTGGACTGCCGTGGGAGCTTCCAGTCTGCCGGGGTCAGCTTCTACAAGAAGGTATTTGTACTGGAATTTCAGTTTTGTGCTACAAATGCCGCTTAAGTCGCACAGCCAACGAAAACCCCTGCAGTTATCGACTCGGCAGTTTACCAGTTACCTGTCCAATTCTTGTTCCTGCCGGTGCCAATTCCCTGATAGTCATGCTGGGTGGACAGACGCTGAAGGTCGGCGCGTGATCGTTGCGATCAACTACCTCGACCTGTAAGGTTATGGGCTCGCTAAGAAGGCGCTGGCTTGAAATGGGACAACCAGGGCAACTGCCGTCATCCTCGGCACGAATCAGCAGGTAGTAGACCTTTAACTCGGGCTTTGAATTCACGTAGACGTTGCCGCTGGTGGCATCCAGTCGAAAGGGCCCAAGAACCCCGACGAGGTTGTTTGTAGCTTAAAGAAAAATACAATTACACGGCAGTGATGATCTGATGGTATGGCCGTCTTTGGACTCTCAAATCACAGTCGAACGAATGGAATTATCTGTTGACGGTCATGCTGGAGACTCACCGTTATTGACAAAAAAGAACCGCATGGGACTCCCATCGGCATCAGATGCGCTGACTTGCACAAAGGCACTGGAGGGCGCAATGTCTCGAAAAACCTGAAGCGGGGGGATCGGGTTCAGCACGGGTGCGTTACGATTAACGTTTTGAATACGCACGCGAATCAGGGTGGTCGCATCGCCCGGGGGACTCTGAGCACGCAAGGTAAGTTCGTAGAACGGTCGGCCTGGAGGCAGATTGTCATAACGCAGAGACCTAGAATGGTGGAAAAATAAGGTTTGAAAGATTCACTGACCGCCTGCACCGAAAGATAAGCAAGTCGAAGTGAGGCTAGAAAGTTTGCAGTGGCTCCGTCTGAATGCGGCCTCATGGCACTCTCACGTGGACGGGGTCCGAATCGCCACCATGCTTCCGCGAGTGCGCCGACAGATGTGCGAGAGCCAGCTCCGGTCTCCCAAGTGCGAACGGGCTGTTCAACTTTGTCAGCCGCTGAGCCCTCCCCTTCGTCGTAGGGTTACACGGTGGAGGTCGCCGTCCGCGGCAGTCGAACTGAGAAATCATGGGATTCGCAAAAGACGGAAAAATCAGTTACCTAGGCCTGAGAAAGACGCAAACTGACTCACCGCACAGTTCGAATTTGAGCTGCACCGCTTGGTGTACTGACGACGTAAAAGTTCGCCGCGCCTCCGCCGCTGAGTGAGTACACGTACTGTCGATTTTCTGGTGCAACATCCCGATCGTCCGGCATTACTAAAATAAAACGCCCACTTAATATTTTTAAGGGAACAATTTGGAATTTTTTGAGGTATTCTTATTTTTCAGGAGGAAACGCGAAATTAGGGAAGTCCGATAAAAGCCTGGTTTGTACACGGTATAAGGAGGAAAATTTTGCCTAGGCTTTTCAGTGTCATAACAGTGAGTCCTCTGACTGCTTTAGAAGTCTGGAATTCTAATTCATCTTGCCTTAAAATGCTCGATTTCTCCAGTAGTTCTCGGAAAATATGTCTCTGCCGGGCAGTCCTCATAATGACAACATACCTTCTATGACAACAGTGTTGTTGGGTATGTCTTCGCGAACGGTTTGCGATTCATATTCCGCCAGTTGGAAGAATGGAGGGTTGTCATCGGTGTCTACCAATGTGACGACCATCTGAAAAGTACGCAAGAAAAGAGCTCGATCGGATAACTTGTGCAACCAGTCAAATTTTAACGGGCGGAGGTTTGGTTTAAAAGCAAACGTTTGTCTGAGGGCTAGTAGGGGACGATTTGATGGACCCAACAGGGTCCTAAGTGCACCGAATCAAATTAACGTCTTAGAAAATATGAGCGAACGTTTACTATTAGTCTATATTACATAAATTGTTGACAGTTGGGCGTCTAGAATCACCAACATACACAACCGCAGTTACGGCAAAAGAGTTCAACGTAAAATTTTAATGATGTTTCGGACGAGTTGAGAGAGAACTGCTGGTTTATTCTAGTAATATAGTGTTGCCCGTCAGTTTTCTAGCACTTAAGAGAGCAAGGGAGTAAATCGTTTTCATTTTGTCTAAACGATTTGCCCAAGACTGTTCAAAAGATGAAGGTTCTATGAAAAACCCTCTTGAACTGACCACAGCTGTAGCAGTGTAAGAGTTGTTTTCCGTTGCCTGCACCAGATATGGCCAGGAGTGGTCGAGCAGCTTCTCGTAGTCCAGGACACGTGTTGTCGTCAAGCTGCCCGTTGCTCCGTCGACTAACTGCACCGGCGCTTCCGAGGAAGCGGGGACTCGAAGGAGGGTGAAGAAGACGCGGTCGTAGGCGTAGTTGAGGGGCAACGCTGGAATAGTGCCAATACTGCAACAAAAAATAGGAAGTTTCCTTCAGTGTCAGAATAATGGGAAAAAAGACAAACACTCTCCTGTGAGAGTGCTCCTCCTTTTTGGGTAAGTCAAACAGATTCTTGAGTGGAGATGCACCTCTCCGACTACAAAAGAAATTATCTCCAGACATAGCAGAACCTGTCATCGTAGTTTAAGAAATAGATGTGGAATTATTTGGACCAAGCATACTGATACAAAGGTTAGGCCACATTCCCGTAGATGTCGTGGCATAGTGGGTAAAACTTCGTCTTATATACCGGAGTGTCGGGGTTATAGCTCCCGACTTGCGAATCTGTGTTAATGATGCGTATTAATTAATGTCAGTTGAAACCGTTATTACTGTTATTTTTCAGTCTGCCTGCGAGGACGTTTTGATGCTTAGACACAGAGTTACATAGATTGGGGTTGTGTTTTGCACGCCGAAACTTCAAAATCACGACCTAGGACAAAAACAGCATTTACCAACCGTCAGTTTTCATTATAAGACGCAAAATACAAAACTTTGAGAGAAAATTGTGTGCGTACCGCATAAGCGGGCGGACCTTAAATATTGAGAATAAGCTTTAGGATTGCGTACTTTTTAAGGAACCGAAACTTGCGGTTCGATTTCTATCATCCCCACCTAACACAGTCGAATACTACTCTACGCTACTGAAATTTGCTGTAGACAAACATTTTTCGGCTTCCCCAGATCAGGTGATTTATTACTGAGAAATAATACTAGTTGCAAAAACGCTTTGCTAAAATTAGCCAAGAGGATAGCGGTGAGACACTATAAATGTTTCCCGATAGTGCGATGATAATAGATGCTAGATTGACTGGTTGCTTGCAAGCGAACCTCATACTAATGAAGCCATTGCTCGGGAAATTAATCTGCTCAAGGGCACAATGGAAGAAACCATTCAGGCCTAAGACGAACGATATTCAGAAATCTCGCAGTGTTTACTACGATAATAGCAAGTAGCCATTTTATTTTACGGTCAACCTAACAAACAACCTAACGCGCGTATTAAATCTCCTGAAAGCCATTTTACCTGTCGGCCAGTATTCAGTTAAGGAACTTTTCCGCCGTTATCTTCAGTTAAAAACGCTCACGCAAACGCTTAAAAAACGTTCTCAGATGGCAGATATCTTCAGGCTGTCGGAAATCGCTGAAACCAATAGTCACCTCCAAAATATGCGGTAAAAGAAAGTTTTAGTCGGTGGGCAACACCGTCAGAGAAAAAGGAAGATTGCAATGACCGTTTCTTGCTTGTTCTTCACGTCGGCCGATCATAACCGGCTGCAGGCTGGGGACAATCGAACTATTGGAGTTAGTTCAGTCGGCCAGTTAATAAGGCGCTCTAGCATTTTAACCCCAGGTTCATGACTTTAAGACTGCGATCGGAAATGTTTATGGTTACACCGACGAGCAACCTAGAACGGAGCTATACTGCGAACTCAAACGTACGTGTTCCCTTTCTTCAATCAAGAAATATCGGCGGATATCACTCCAAAAGTGAGTTTGGGCAAACTTCAGGTCCAGTTAAAGGTAGATTTAAGTAGACGTTCTTCGCTCTAACGAAAGGACTATTTTTAAGACATAACACGAAAATACACTGGATTTCACAGCTGATTGTTGGATTTCAAGCAGATGTTTCAACTTGCGGACAAGTAAGTGGTCTTATCGTTAGGTTAAAAGATTTCCCGGACTGCACAATTTATCAGTTTGGATGAATCATCGTCCTCTTCAGACTTCATAATTTACTCACTTAAATTTATAGGGTACTTTCATCATAAGACCTGATTTGAAAACGTTAATCTCGAGTCTGTTAGCTAAAAGAGATCCTTTTGCATAGCCTTTTTATATTATTTTGTTTTTAGCATGTAATAGGCTGCATACAGAAGCGCAAATCAGTCAGTTTAAAATCTCAGGAATTTAGGAACAGTTTGGCTGATAGTTCAGATCATCGGCGGCCTGTAAGTGCTGTGCTCAAGAAGGCTTTGCAGTTCTCAGCAGGGCGTCGGCAAAACAAGGATGTTAGCAGTTAGTTTTAGCAGAGCTAAATAAGCTGGATCCTGCCAACTCACCTGGACCAGATGAGATCCCAGGTGTACTCCTGCGCCAGCTAGCTGAAGAATTAGCAGAGCCACTTTCTATAATCTTCCAAAAATCGCTGGAAGCTGGCAAACTACCTGACACATGGAAGTTGGCTAGCGTCGTACCTATCCACAAGGGAGGATCACGGCTATGTCCCACCAACTACCGGCCGGTTAGTTTGACATGCATTTGCTGCAAACTGATGGAAAGGATAGTTAAAAAATCTATTACATCACTCGATACTTTCCGCTTTCACATCGTCTCAGTTCAACATGGCTTCTGCGAAAAGAGGTCCTGCCTCACAAATCTGCTTTCGTCACTCGAACATTGGTCAAAGGCCATGGATAAAGGATATCCAGTTGATGTCATTTACTTTGACTTCAGCAAGGCGTTCGATTGCGTCCCACATAAGCGCCTCATTCAAAAGTTATCAGAAGTAGGGATAAGAGGACATCTTCTGAACTGGATTCAAGATTTCCTAAACGGACGGCAACAAAAAGTCACTGCGGGCGGCTACTGCTCAGAATGGGCACCTGTTACGAGTGGAGTCCCACAGGGGTCAGTTCTTGGGCCGCTCCTATTCATTATCTATGTAAATGACCTGGTACGGGAAGTGAAGTCAGATATAGCGCTCTTTGCAGACGACCTTAAACTTTGGAGAGCGATAAAAGATGAAGATGACGTCAGGATGCTACAAGAGGACGTAACGAATTTGCACGCATGGAGCGAGAAATGGTGCATGAAATTCAACGTCAAAAAATGTGCAGTAATGCACGTAGTATCAGCGAGGCGAAGAACAAATGCACCCCCACGACAGTATCTCCTGGACAATCAACCACTTAAAACCGTAGATTTGCAAAAAGATCTCGGTGTATTCATTAAAGACGATCTAAACGTCACCACGCAGTGTTCTAAAGTCGCTGCGCGGGCAATGTCCGTTATGAGCGCGATACGCAGAACGTTTATTCACTTGAATAAAGATGTCTTTGGCAAAGTATACGGGACATTTGTGCGGCCGCACCTGGAATATGCGGTACAGGCTTGGCGGCCGTGGCTTCGGAAGGATATAGCTATCCTTGAAGGTGTACAACGGCGTGCTACAAAGGCTGTTCATGGCCTCAAAAATTTCACGTACGAGCAGCGCCTGACGGCCTTGAACCTCTATCCCCTCCACTACAGGCAGGACAGAGGTGACCTCATAGCAACGTTCCAGTTGATAAAAGGACTTAATCTGGATGTCGACTGGGAAACGTTTTTTTGAAATGGCACCCAAGTCCAATCTCAGACGACATGATTACCAGCTTAAAAAGGAACTGTGCCACACAAATCAACGTTCCTCCTTTTTCTCGCAGAGGGTCATTCGCCAATGGAACTCTTTGCCGGAGTTTGTTGTTAATTCCCCTACCGTGAACGTGTTCAAGAGACAACTGGATACTCACCTTCTGAAAGGCAACCCAAACTGCCGAAGCCTGATCTAACGGATTATTCAAATGACTATAAATATACTACTAACTAGATTTCAACAGATCCTATTTTTTGCGTCAAACTTAGCCCATATTGAAATTTTCACAGTCCGAATGCAGTGAACAAAGTTTTTCGCAATTCTTTTGCGAATATAATACCCTTTTAACCTTTATGTTACATTATTAGATTTATGAATTCTCCCTACTAAAACTGCAAGCAAAAGTTTTGCAGTTTAACTATTTTACTTTATACCTGTACCCTCTAAATTGAGTTTTCATGGCTTCTGTCGTTTACTCCAAATATACTGACTGAAAGGTTCAGCGAAGATAAACTACCACGGGGTTAGCATGATAAACTGGAAACAAATTGGCCTATTCAACTGATACCGCGAGGTCCGAGAATTCTGGCCCACTCTTCCACGCGCGGCAGTCGCATGTAAGTCGACAGTTCCCAACCATAGGTTTGACTGACACGCCCTTTTCACGCCACATGCGGGTAGGGTCCACCCTCTTAATCGGAAATTAAAAATAGAAAAGGGCCCTGACAGGTTTTTGAGGGGCCTCGTGCTTGCAGGATAGGAGAGCTGAAAGGACAGACAGGTGCGAATACGAACATGTCGTTCTCGCCAAAGGGCGTGAAAAATGGACTACAAACGTTCAATTAGTTCTTCTGCAGAACGATTGAGTTTCGCCGCTAATCAAAGTGAATAGCACCTGCTATTTCTTCTTACCTCCTGCTGAACTGGTAGTCCCTTAGAAGTACGACTGGTCTTCCATGGTAAGATTTCAAGGCGGAAAGTCTCTACTTAAGCATCACACAAATTGTATTCCGAGTTTACATGCTCAAAATATCACCATGTTTTCTTCGAGATAACTAAAATAATGCTTATTTCCCGTAATCTATTTAAATCTCGTTAGAAGCCATGATTTTTAAAACTGTGCCTTGAACTTTTAGAGTAAACTACAAATAAACCGGCTTCGAAGCCCGAACGATTGTTTTGGGCCTTCCAAATAACCTACCTTATGTATTCACAGTAAAGAATTCAAATTTGACTTATGTTGTAAAGAGACATCCTGAGATCGGAAGAGACCTTGAGTTAATTTTGGGCATCCAGACATATTTTAAATCATGGATATTGAAATAGTAGTAAGTCCCAGAAAGCTATTAAAATACACATTTTTGTCGAGCCAATTTTGCTCATTTTCTTAAATAGCGACTTCTACCAGAACCGCATCTCCTATAAAAGAGTTATAAACATGAAACTTTCTGCCGGCCAATCCAATGCAAAAGTACAAAAATTAAAAAGGGATAATTTTTAGAGTGAACGGTAGGAAGAATGTTCAGTGGAAAGTTATTATGCCGGAATGCGTGTGTGCAATCTCTTCCGTCGTTGTCGGTACTCCTTAATAATGTATATGAGATTGTACATACAACAACTAACAAACGATGGTCTTTGAAAATATATTTTCAAACCCGGGATTTGTAAACGGTGTATTGCTATGTTAATCAGTGCATAACATTGCCTCCTAGGACAAGCAAATAATCTCCCACAGCATCCCCTAACGAATGACGAATAAATGATAATTAAACACTGATGTTTTGTCTGGTGAAGTAAAAAAGGTTGCTGGGAAGACGGCCAATCAACGTTCACAATGCTACGATGCGGAAATCAACCAATGATTATGTTGCATGTTTGTGTCTATCGCAATACGACTTAAACGGTCTTCTAGAGTCAAAAGCCTATCCCAAAATTTGAGTTAGTACTATAGGAATTTCGGCGTATTTGTTACGAATATGTGTGGCCCCGGAACAGCAGCCAATACTCTCTTCTTCAGTCAGTCTATGAATGTAAGCAAAATTATCCTGTAAGCACCTTACATGCGACATGCAACTGCCCCTACTCAGCGGCACGCGTCCTCAGAACGACGGCAAGGACAGAGCCTGCCTTTCCGACTAGCTGCAAATAACTGGGGTGTCTGTCGTTGGTGGCCAGTGAAAGGGTCTTCTGAAGGATTGGCTGAGAAATCAGCAGGCTCTGCCTCCAACTGATAAACAGTTGCTGAACAGGGAACCGTAGTTTATTTAGGCCCAGCGGAACATCGTTCTGATGACTTTGTTATTAACGCAGATGTCACGAGCCATAGAAATATTGAGACACGCAAAATTTGCCAGCCTCTGACCCCGCCATAGGGTTTATTTGACCGTCTGCATGATCCTGGAACCTAACAATGGTCTGCCGGAGGCTTGAGTGACGATGTGAAACTTAGAATCTGGAAGCTGCTTGAAGCATTCCTCTACCAAGCCGTTCCCTACACACCGCCTGCCCGGCAAGCCACGGCTTAAACCTGGGTTTTGTGGACGGCCACAGCGAAGCGGTGCGTGAACTCTGGGTGAACCTGCCGTGGCCCACATGCTTCGAGCAACATGATTTCCTGCCAGATAGCTACATTGGTATGTCTGCTGAACAGTTCTGACCAAACATGGCATGGGCTTCAACATATCATAAAAATAACGGAGGCGTTTGCGAAATAACTAAGTATTATGATCTATTTTCAGACTTGGAAAGTGTGGACACTAACTTTTCTAAACCACAACCATGGCACCATTTACGTACTGGGAGATGCGTAGAACTCTAAACTCCCTTGTTCAGATCAAAATAACTAATCTCTCACGTAAATGTAGCTACAGTTTGCGTGACCTCTACAGGCAAAACTATGCCGAGAGTAAAAACGCCCTGTTAGTGGTCTAGCTGTACTCCCTTCTTGCGCTGTACTGCCAGATGAAATTTGTTATTCTCCTGAGTTGAAAATTACCGACAAGTCGATTCCGGAGGACACTGATCTCTCTTTGCAGTAGTAACGTTACAAATCTGGTTCCCATGTAGTATAACTGAGAAGGAGGAGGAGGAGCAGATGTAGCAAGGTAACATAACACATGGGAAGAGAGAAACAGAAGACAATGAAGTCGGTTTAAGAGGAAGTATACGTGTGGTAGGGGTGCAATCTAAAAGGCAAGAAAGCATCATGGTAGGAGCATACTTATGAAGAGAATTCTCTGCAAGTCGACATCAACCTCCAAACACTTGATACCTTCAAAAAGTAGTATACGGGCTGTTAAAAACTGATAGCTACACAAAAGGCTGGCTATCGATCAAGGGAATGCTTTTTGCTTAACAAACTTCTTACGCTGGGGAAATTGTGACATTCATTTCCGACTCTAGAGGGAATCTGGGCCTGCGTTCAGTTAACCAACTTACAATGTTGATAAATTTCACATTCAAACTAGCCAACCTCCTTAAAGCAAGAACATAATCTTATTAACTGACCTAGCGTGACTATAATATGGACAGACTAAAAACGCACCCACGTTGGTCTTCCTGGGGTACGTACCGCAAAATGGAGGCCAGAACAGTCGGCTGGACTTATGTCGCATGCAAAGGGTCAACATTTTCCTCCTTTGCGTGTACTTGTGACTCATTCTGGCTCAATTATATGCGGGAACAGTCCGGGAATTGTGACGAGTGTAGACCAAGCAGCCTGCATGCTCAATCATAATGTCAAATCATGAATTAAGATTTCCACTTGAACGCGACGTTAGGGGGAAGTGGGAGAAAAAAAGAAAACGAATTACATCCTCCCTAAAGTGCGCTCACGAGCAAGTCATGTTAGAAGGTGATGGGTGAACAATCGGTGTGTGTGTGTGTCACCAAAACGGGCCAGTTGGTAGATGCGCTGAACCAAAAGGGGGGCCATATCGGATTCTGGCAGGTGTTATCGGATTGCACGCCGTAACAAATGCCAACATTTGGGGGTTCGATGGCAGACCCGGTTGCCGGCAGAAGTCGCGCACACTGGGATCCCTTCCACCTCCCATTATTGTTGTTATTGATCAAAAATCTGGTCATTTGTTCCGTGGACCAAGGGGTGTGAAGTGGAGCGCCAAGGTGCAGGCTCAACCGTGCCATCCACCTGCGTCCTCCCCGCCTCCGGTCTTCTTGACTACATCTTGACACCGGGTCCAGGTGGGGAAGAGGGAGTGCGGTAGATGCTGTACAAGTCCACATTCACTATAGGCTAATTCACGCACAAGTCACTGTCCCTGCTCCACCATGCTGTGGGGCACACTGTGGACATCGTCGACAACGACGGTCGAGCTGTCGTGTTTGTGTGTGTGTGTGTGCGCGTGAAGTCTGTCAGACATCAAATGTTTCTTGAACATTTTCGCTTCGTGCTGACGACCACCAAACTTTTGGCAGTCAAACGAAGCCCAGCAAGCCGTGCATTCATACGATGTTGAATGGAGGGAAAAAAGTACGGACAAAAATTTATATTCCATCACTGAAGCTGGTACTCCGCTAAATAACGTAGTAACAGTGAAAGTGGATAATAAACGACCCGAACGCAAAACACAAAACACTGTTTTACCATTCGTACAGGAACAGTGAGTAGTTTCTACATACCTCTGTAAAAATTATAAGCCTTCTGATGTTTTATGGAGAAAATCTAAAAATATTTCTTAGGGAATCTTTTACTAACCGGAATAGGATTCGGGAATAGGAAATCTGAAGTTATACAAGCGGCCTTTTGCAAAAATTCAGGACTGATACCTATTTTCGTGTTTTGGTCCTAACCCCAACCTTAACCGTGATCTTCATCTCCCTGGAATTTAGCGCATTGCCACCTGTATTCGGGGAAGCTCCTATTTCCGTGTTCTGCCCTAGTCGGGATTTGTGAATTATTTCGAAAGAACCATACGATCCGACTGAAACTAGAAACTATATAAGGCCAAATAAAATCGGGACTAACTATTAAAATCCACGATTGTCATAGGAGCGTGTTGGGCTCAGGGAAAACCACTTCATATTCCTTTGCTAGATTAATGCCCACAGTTGTTCTGAATCTTCAGTCGGTCTAATATCAAACCTTACGTTCGGAATGCAGATGAGAACTGTATCGTGGATCTCACCCTCTCGTCGGCAGCAGCCATCCTTGTCCACTTACAATTGCTCTGCCGCATATTAAGCTATGGGATTAAACAATAATTCGGGCATCGTGTGAACCCCAAAGACTGGATACCTTTTAAAAAGTAGTGTACGATCATGTGCGTACAGGGGACCCTCCTTCAGGCTCCGCGCTTAACGTGGTCAAAAGTTGAATAACTATGTGTATGCAACTCTCTGCGCCCTTCCGCTCTCTCGCTCCCCCATATTCCCACATCTCGCCAGCGTTCTAAGACGAACTTCAATCGACTTCTCTAATCACTGATATGTTTTACTTGTACCCGGTTTCCATATAAATGTACTGGCGTGACGGAAATTTATCGAAAGCGAACGTACGATCGCCAACTAGTCTTCAAGATACTGCTTTGAGAATTTTCGCAATTCTTCAACAATAATCCACTGAAGATAGCTGTATTGGTAGTGAGGCGTGACTTTTTGTGGACAGTTAATAAGAAGCTTTACAATATCTCTATTATTTGGGAGAAAACTGTGAATAAGTGACCACGATTACTGACATGCTTAGAAACGAACAAATATTAATTATCACTAAGCGACCTTTTATAATCATTAGCCAGAGCTTCCGGGACAGTTTTACACGCAACTATATCAACGCGGACAACTGGTAATACTCACGTCCCCAACCCCCGTCCACTACCAACGCAGTTTGGTAAAAAAACTGCTTATCTTTCTAAGCCTCTTTTATTCTTCTTCTTATTGCAAGCGGAATTGTTGCATAGACATGAAATACATCATGCCTTCCTAAGACAAACAGTAATAGTTGAAGGCGGTGATCGCACGCCGTCCCGACACCCTGAGAGCAGTCACACGCACTTACAGCGCTTACAATCTAACCGTAACTCCTCTCCTTCCACTCCCCCTCCAACCCCAACTTCACCGTCCTCAAGACGCTGACTCCGTCAGGCCGGCGGTGGGGGAACATGGAATCTGATTAACCCCGCCCCTGCGACGCATTTATATCCTGTCAACAACTAGAATGATCATTATCCATGTAAATGTATCGGCCCGATGATGAGTTACCGAAAACATATGTTCGCCAACTGACTCTTCAATAGTTGAAGACATGAGCAGATTCTAACTTCTTCGATAATTTAGTGGTAATTTGAATATGCCAATCCAGTTTTCTTCCACAATTCGCAAAAACCCACGTTTAGACTAGGTTAACGTATGGCGTTTCAGAAGGTGGGCGAACGACCACTGGAAGGGAATGATTACTATTCGGTCTGTTGAAGGTTAACAACATTAAATCGCCAGTGTTAATTAACGCCACACACACCACGCTGTCTAGTAATGCTCTTAGCCGCACTGAGAAATTGCCTGGGCTCTTCTCAGAGACGAGCTAGAGGCCGTAGACGACCACCAAGCTGTTTAGTACAACTTTCACCCCCTATCGCGTGCTATTCGCTCTGATCTCTGCGACCCCGAGGATGGAGTGCCAGCAGAACCTGCTACAACATGGGTTACATGCAGACATTTGTGGAAGCCGTATCTGCGTGCCAGGCCTCCACTATCTCTCTGCCCGCATAGTCGACCTTGGAAACTAGTTCGTTTCAGAAATTTCAGGAAGAGGTACAAGCATAATCATATCTATTTTTCTACCGCACGAGCATTTTTTAATTTTATCGACACCAGTTCTTCGGAGAGGACCCCAGGAGTTCACTGAAGACACCAATAGATCTGCCGTTTCAGACGTAGAAATACGTTCGCCTCACTTGGACGACACCCAGCTGAGCTCGAACGCCGTGTGTGAATGTAGAACTCAAGAACGCAAAAAAGAGTGACTGGGGCTGAAGTTACACAAATCATGAAATTGGTCAGCCAGTCCGGAAACTTTGGACAATGTTTCTTCTGTATTCCTCCTTATTTCCAAATAGGAAATTCCAGGCAATAGGTTTTCAACAACTCTGTAAACGTCAGAACTCATCCCTAGCGAACGATGTCAGGGTATAAGTGCCAGTGGGCAGGTTCCGCTTTGCAGAACTGTGCTCAATTGAAGGCACCAGTGCAGTAAGTAACTCTTACCGTAGGCAAGACCGCATAGTGGAGGACAATAAGGACATAGGAAGGGTCAAAGCAGCAAGGCTGACTGGACCAGACACATAGTTAGGCAAGAAACACTTGTAAATTTCAGGACCCGCAGACATTTTATTCGTCCTGCCCAGCTTGCGGGAAAGTGTGCTCTGTTAGAAGCTGGCAATAAACATAATGAGATTCCCAGGCTATTAAAGAGTAATTCGGACTTTTGGGAACTCTGGGTAAACTTTCGACATATACTGCACAATTAGTGAAAATAACACAAAGGACTTGAAAGATCTACAAATCTAAACCAACATGTTACAAAGTATAGATTGAAGTGAGGGCATATATTATACCAGTTAACATCTCCCCCCATCTGCTTGAGAGAGTAGCTTTTGAGATTGCAGCCGGCCTTGAGGCACTTTCGTTTTGTGCATTGAGTGGCCGCTAAACCTACTTATCAAAGGACAAACTTGAGCAGCCACCTATGTCGGGCTTTAGCGCATCCTGCGAGATTCCGTGTCTCACCATCAACGGCGTCTACTTCGTGACACGGGAGGGGGCTGATAACTGAGAGTGACAAAGGCTTGCGTGCCTGAGTGCCTAATCAGACGTTTTGTGAGCGTGAATGTCCGCGGCTGTGTGTGTGTGACCTTGTTTGGCCTATCATAGACGAGATAATCATCAACAGGGTGTGGTCCAACATAACAGATTTAATTGCCCTACCATTGTCAAAGTGAGTCAACCGTAAGCCCCTCTTCACAAAGAAAACAACCTGGAAGCCTCCATCCACATGGTTAAAAATAAGTTCAGGTGGCATTCACCAAGCTATCCCTATCGTAGCCTGGCATCTGAATAATTTCGACCTCCGGTATGAAGACCTCGCGCAATGTCTCACGGCGACGAAGCCCAATAACAGTAGAAATTAGTAATTGTCATTTCTGACTTATTTATCTCATCACACAGAGATACCCCAACTCCTTGACGGAAGGGCCGGGGGTTGGGTGAACTCACATTTCGTCGTTTGCAGTGGGGAGTGTTTAAATTCGCAGAAGAATGGCCTGCGAGTTATCCTGGTTGTGGGACCAGTACAGGCAATTGCGTTATGCCTTAGGACTAAGGCCTTCCAGAATACGAGTTGAAGGGGTCAAAAAGACAGGGAACAGGGTTAGACCCCAGAATCCTGCGACCTATGACTAGGTTACGACTGGCTGATGACATGGAATAGGCCAGAAACTGCCAGTTCGGCCTCATCCCTTGCCTTTGAGAGTAACGCTTCTCAGTGAGGATGAGTTGCCAGTATCCGGAACTCCTGCTGATATTTAAAAACATTCCTTCCAATAGGAAATATCTCCAGGTCCAGTTATAGTAGTGCTTAACGTGTAAAAGCATTTTAATTTGCCTCTTTTATACTAATATGGCAGATCTGGACTTAAAGTGCTTTCGAGCACTTATACCAGTAACAGTCGCATATACAATAACCAAATATACATGCTTTCACTCTCAGTGATCTGTAGTGTTTCCACACACACCCAACCAAATTCCATCAGAGGGACATATGAAAATTCCCTTCTTTTGCATAACAGCGAACGCACTATTCCTGGGAGTTGGTATTCAAAGAAGTGGGATATTACGGCCTTTATCTCGACTGCAGTCAGAGTTGCTTTAGTCGTGTCAAGATAATTATTCACAACCCTAGTATCTACGGGCTTATAAATGCTGCTTTCAAGGTATGCAGGGTGGATCTCATCTGCTACCACATCCGCCTAGCAGCAAGAAGAGCGGAGCGCAATCGCGTAACAAAGATACACAGGCTATCGTCTGGCAGCCTTGAGAGACGGCACAAACGCCCGTGATATTCCCAAATATTAGTTTCTTAATAAAATCTCTTTTAAAACCAAAATACCTCCCTCAGCTATCATGTTCCAGCAATTGCATAAAACGAGCATAGGTAGCGAAGCCTCTGGCATCCCTTGGATTATATAGGACTGCGTTTATAATAGTATTAAAATTTTTTGAAAACATCTGAGCAGTGTCGTTTCAGCCAGAATGATTGAGTCTGTTGCCTGAAAATATCTTAATAAATGTTGGCATTTCGAAATAACTCTGGATTAAGCTGAACGCTAATAAACATTATGCTTTAGTAATCTGTTTTCCATAAGAGAACAGTTAACATGTTTCAAAGCATTTTGCAAGTAGTGATTTCTTAAGGAACATTTATATAATTAACCTTAGCAATCAGTCAAAGTCAAATTAATTTACATGAAATCGGTTTCGAGGCATACTGTATCACTCAAGCAATCGTTTCATGGACTTCTGTGGATATCTGAAGACAAGCGTTTCTTTTTTTTACAAAGAGTGGCATACTATCAATGAAACTACAACACTTGTCTTGACTCCAGTCATCAGACAGCAGCTAACCTGCGTAGGCAATCTTTGATAAGTTACAAAGGAATCAGTTAGGACGATCCTCACTTTGTTCCGGCGGGGAGATTCTCGGAGAAGTTGACGGTGAAGACGGGAAGAGGAAACTTGACGGGCCGGAAGGCCGTGTAAACGAGGAGTTGCATGTCAGCGAAGCTCTTCTCCGGTAGGGCAGAATTCCGGTCAACAACCCGAATACTCAGTCGGTAGACATGCATCACCGGGAAGCTCGTCGCCCCCACAGTCGTTATCACACCCTATGAGATAAAAATAATCGGTCGGCCAGAATACAGGGGCTTAGTCTCAACTCACAAAACAAGACGTCCATTCCTTAGGATGAAGCACAGGAAAAAGCGACGCTATTAAAGTGAGAGGGACTACTATATTCAGAGGTGACTCTACGTGAAAATGCACCTTTGAAGAATCGAACAAGGGAATTTTCACCAACCTACAGACAACATCCGCCATGGTTCATAATTTGATCAAATACCAACTCCCTTATTGATGACGCAGGTTACGAAAATACAAATCCACAGTGAGCCTGAAAGATTCTGCTTTGCGACGGGTTTGAACCGCTGACCGTGAGTGTGTCCCAGCTCGAATTATTTGTGCTACATGGGTTCACACTTCCAAAGTCTACATCACCAAAACATGACTACTTCCATAAACGGATTACATATGCCATTCTAAACTTTGATTCTAAACAAATCACAAGAAGCATGGCAAAGACTCATAAAAGAAAAACGAAGATAACGATTGACAGACATAAATAATTTGTTATGATTGTGAGAGAAGCGGAACTTGAAAAGTGCAGAATAGTGGAAACATTCATCGGAAAGCATTATTTCAGAGCAGGAGCTTTCTTCGCATGCTGGCTCAGCGATGATCGCTTACAGCATAAGTCAGTATAAACATAAAAATTAAATTGATAAAAGAACGGAGATCCAGACTTTTTTTCCCAAACCTCGATGACCATCCCGCCTATGCCATTGTTCATCGCAAACGTCCAAATCATCCGTGCTGCACCTATGACTAGCAAACTCAGGATCAGGGATCAGTATGTTTACCTAACTCGTCTTCTCTGAACCATACCATTTCTACTGCGGATAACTAGTTGTATATGCCACCGTGTTTACTGAGCAGAAAGCGAACGGGTCGTAGGTAATCGAAATCGACTGTAGACATCGTCCATGTCTACTCCATGAGCCTCAACGCTAATTAACATGTTCTCCAGTAGCCACTAAGCGATCGGACAACCTGCAGTACGAGAGCAGGTCATCAGACAGAGGAGTAACCCACTCACGCTGGGAAAGATCCGTAGGAGAGCAACAATTAGGGAGGACTATAAATCACAAGCGTAAAGTATTTATAGCATCACACATATTGCGGAAACATTGGGCAGTCTTGGGAACCGAAAAAATGGCATTAAAAGAATTCGGTCGATAAAATATCAGTGCAATTGCCTGCACTCTCCCGCCCTATTATAAAATTACCCCCTTTGAACGCAAATTTCATAATATGTGCCAAAGCTTATTTAGTTTTTGTATTGGGGAGTAAAAAGTAACAGATCTAGGACGGACTAATTTCTATCACAAATGGTTCTGTGCTCAAAAGACTACTCTCTCACAATTACACGGTTTCCTGGTTCAATAGCATTTTTGTCTCTGGACCATGAGTGTGACGCAATTTAAATGACAAATTGTGCCGCGTCCTGCAACCTGATCGATGAGAATCTTCTTCCATACCAAAGAGACTTTTTAGCTTAGAAATAGAGTAATGAGAACCCACAAAATCAACGAAATTCAATCACTTTTCCATGTACAAGAGACCAGAGCGGAACGGCAGACGAAATCTGGGTGAGGTGAGATTTTGCAGATGCGTATGATGATTCATAACAGTAAAGAAATCGAGCGGGGCCTAAACAGTTCGAAAACCGTGGTGAATATCTACTTTGCTGCTTGTTTTACGCAGAGACACATGGGAAAATTGATTTGTACGACGGCACAGACGAAATGAGCGGTACTGCTTGAACAAGTACCACAAAAATCAACAGAGTACGCCCGATCAAGCAAACGTGAACACTAGAGATTTCTAACACTACAGTGCACCGGTCCATTAATGGTTCGTCATCATTTGCTTATTGGAAGCTTCAATGAGTAACATCATTAAGAGTCGCGAGGGACAACGAGCACTTTTGACAGATCAGCAACACAATGTGGTCTCCTCCGATGGAAGTAAATTTACTCTGCATAGCCCAGACGGTTGGAACGATAACCGGTTTTACCCATACAAAGAGCGAAATCCTACAGTCTGGATATGGCCGTATAGTGATTTGTAGGAAGGAAATTTCACGTATAACATTGGAATACGGTCAGTGACCGACCTTATTAAATGTTAACTAAAATTCTGAAAAGTTTCTGATTAGTACGGGTAACTTAAGAGGAGTTGCTATACTGACTAACATACAGGATATACTTAAAATATTTCGGACACGCAAGAGTGTTGGCTTTTAAATACAGTTTTTTGCAGCCGCCTGGAAAAACCGCACCCGATAAAAATGACTACTGAATAGTATGAACGTTTTCTATCGATCTCTAAAGTCCTAATAAATTTCAATGTGTTTCATAGAAAACATGCAAAAATTATTCTCCATTGCTATTTTTGGAATCAATCACGCTTTCTTCAAGTTGTAAGCTCAAAGGAAGTGCATCGTTTGGTCTTTAAAGGCTTCCTAATTATAAGGTTTTTATGGCCTTTAAGTGTCAATTCAAATAGCGTCATATCTGTACGTTTGTTAATGTTCCTTCTGAAATATGCGACACAGGCTACATTAATTGCAAACTTGTATGAACCCTTTATGATATCTGCTTTATAACATGGAGAATGTGCGCTTTTCCTTATACGGAAAATGCAAATCATGAAGGCTGACAACCCTAAAAGCAAATAATATACAGATTGGACTAAATATTTTTCGGGAATTGAAAAAAAACAATTATAAAGCTTAAATATATACTTTCTTCAAGCATACAATTTGAAGAACATGTAATGCCCTATCAAATGAATACAAAAAATAGTTTTGTGCCTTTTTGTTCTATAGAATATGTTTGAATTTATAAGAACATCTAGAATCAATAGAAAAAAACGCAAACCACCAGATGCTGTTTTTCCAGGCGACGCAAATAAGTGCAGAGCCATTATAAAAAACTTGAGATCGTTTTATCTATTTCGTCTACCACACTGCTCTATTCTGTTGGACACGGAACACTACAGGTGGTCGTGTCCTAAATTCCAGGGTTCAGCAGTGTTAGCGTAAGGGCTGAAGTTGCGACACAGGATTTGGCACCCTTCTGTGGATTTGCACGAGCCAACCTCCAGGAGGCTGGGGTCATTTTTCCGCGTTCGAATATTTATTTGCCAAAGCCGCCCGAAGTCCGTCAAGGTGATGCCTAAGAACGTAAAGTCTACAACGATGTTCTGTGGATAGAAAAAGATTGATTGAACAAACCAGAGTGGTTTCTTGGCGTCCCAAAATTTCTTCCTACGTGCCAATGGGTGAGTTCCAGATATTAATTTAAGAGGAGTACTCAATATATGGGACAAGAATTTTATAGGTCTGATAACTTGAGTTTATGCTTGAACACATCACCATCAACAAAAGTGCAGTTGCAGCTGCGTACCTGTCTTCTCAGTCGCACTTTTTGCAAGAACCCGCGCAAAGAATGAAGAATGGCTAAGACAAAGGAGACCGGGATATCCATTTCTGGCCGTGAGCACTCTAGATTGAGCCTCAATGGACAAACACGTCAGTGATCGACAACGCTCTTCCTACGATAATGAATACATCCGATCGCTCGGTGGTCAAGGAATTCGGGTCCAAATCACATGTCATCCAGACCTGAAGTTGGGTGTGGCGGGCTGACGACGGCTAATACGCCAGAACCAGCTATTCCAGCCCCCCTTGTCTTTGTCGGTACTCAATTCTCTGAATATGTATCGCCGGTCGCTATGCGACAGACATCAAAGATTCTAGATTGAACCTGTAGGCACGATGGGATGAGCCCGTCTCATAGCCCGATCCGAGAGCGCCCTTCATACGATATTATGCAGTAAAATCAACATAAAGGGGAAGCCGTGAACGTTCATAGGTATGCGGTAGCATGGCTGCTGCATCCTATAAATACCGCAGCCCCTTGTGCAACAACCACCCGTTTCTGCTCTTTTGTCTCTGATGATGGATTCGAGTAGGAATCCGAAACGTCAGGCTAATAAAGCTCTTGTCCCGGCGATCGTGTCTCCTTCTTCAAGACTACTTCCTGGGACTCGGCTCTTCGCTTCTATTGGCAAAATCAACATAGTTGGAAACTCGGTCCGTATATAGGGAAATGGATCCTCCAGTACTACAGGTGGTCATACAATAAATTTCAGGGGGTTCCTGTTCTCCTGTCCTAACTTTAACCCTAACTCTATCCATCCTAACCTGACCCTAGCATTAGCTCCCACAAACCTAACCCTAACCATAACTCAGATGCCAATCCTTGCCTTCACCTGACATAGAACCTAAAGCTAACCTTCCTGGCATTTAGGGTAAGGCCACCTGTAATACGAGGGCTCACTTTTCCGAAAATTGCTTTGTGGGTCATTGCATGCTACGGCCGGTCTCCTTAGAACTCTTCCAACTTACGCCGCCAACTATTTTACGCCAATTAGTAACCTTTTGTGGTCTTTATGGACCTATTAAATACGATTGGCTTCAGCAGCCGACCTACGAGCATCCAAAGAATGGGCGCAGAGTCCGAGAAAGGCCTGAGTACTGAAGCCTATGAGTACGAACGAGAACGCATTGCGTTGGCGGCCCGTCCACTCAACTAATCAACTGGGTCAATTAATCTACAACTGGCATGGGCGTGTGTAATGGTGATAAGGGTTAAGCAGGTGGTCTATGCGCCGAACTCTATGTACTGAAACAAGGTCGCGCTGTTCGCGCCACCAAGCCAGGCGCCCCGACCCGGCCACCGCCTTCAATAAGCACTTCGTTACGTACGGGTCCCACGAGGAGGGGAGTGACTCATCACATGACACGCTTGAGCATGAATGTCGAAACCACTCGCTTCTGCAGTGAATGGCGCCTGTTCTGGGCGCCGTGAAGACAGCTTTCGTTATAGGGGCCCAAGCAGATTCATTGCCGGTCAGCCTGGCTTCCTCGAAGACGCACGTTTCG